CTTCCTTCCTTCCTTCCTTCCTTCCTTCCTTCCTTCCTCCCCTGCTTCTCTTTCCTTCCTCTGTGCTCAGGAAGGGATGATGCTGACACTGTCACTAAGTGAGTTACCATCACTAAATGGATCATCCCTGGAATTGGTATCAATTCTGCCCCACTTCTGCTCTGGAAAACTAGCAGATCTGGAAATTACTATACTTCTGCTTCCATCATTAAAGCGATAGCTCTTTGAGCCAGGCTCATAGCCCATAAACCTGAGCTTTCTAGCCTTTTGTTGCCCTTTTCTCCTGATTGCCTTTGGAATATGCACCCATGCATTGCTTCCAAACACCCTTAAATGTGCTAGAGATGGCTTTCTGCCATATAGCACAGTATATGGAGTATCATTTATAGAGGAACTCCACAGCCTATTGACCAAATAATTAGCAGTCAACCTTGGTTCACCCCAATAGGACCTGCTCAGACCAGAATCCTTCAGCAGTGACTCTTTCATGGTCTGCAAGACTCCATTCCGTCTTTCAGCCACACCATTCTCAGCTGCTGTGTACAGATTTGTGAGTCTATGTCTTATTCCTAGCTGTCCCAACCATTGTTGAAAACTTGCTGACATGAATTCTGAACCCATCAGTTTGCAGCTGGCATACCTGTTGCCTATATCTTCTTTCTGTGAAACTCACCCATTGCTTGAACTTCTGCAGCACCTCTGTTATAACAGAAACCAAATCTGGTAAAATCATCTACAATGACCAACACATACCTTGCTCCTCCCAAGCTGGCTTGCATTGGTCCTATTAAATCTGCATGTACCAGCTCTAGAACACTTGTTGTCTGTCTTGTGCTCTTCTTGCTCACTGGGAACACTTCGGATTTTGATGATTTACATACTGCACAGTCTAAGTATGCCTTATACCAGTGGGGGCGAACCTATGGCACAGGTGCCAGAGGTGGCACTCAGAGCCCTCTCTGTGGGCACACAGGCCGTCACCCCAGTCCTAGGCCTTCAGCTGGGTTTTATAAAACTTTTTTGCTTTAGGCCTCCGCCATGTGCAAAATGACAGATATGTTTTGATAGAATAAGGAAGAACAGTTAGCAGTGCAAAATATAGATGTGTCACAAATAACCAATCCCTTAACCTCTTTTAATATAATTTGTTAGAAACAGGAATTTTAGGTAATAAATTGTTGCGGTCAAAAGAAAATGGGCATAATTAGCCTGAAAATGAGGCACACTCATACAAGCTAGATCAGACATGTCAAACACACGACATCACATGATGTCGCGGAACCTATCGGGATGGTTTTGCCATTGCTGGCAATAGAGTGGGCGTAGCTTCCGCGTGACATGTCCGGCCCACAGGCCGGCAGTTTGACACCCCTGATCTAGATATAAAGAAATTGATTGTTCCACAAATTAGTTATTTAATACAGGTAGCCCTCAAATTAAGACCACAATTGAGCCCAAAATTTCTAAGCAAGACACTTATTGAGTTGCATCCCATTTTATGACATTTTTTGCCATAGTTGTTAAGTGAATCATTAGGTTGTTAAACAAATCTGGCTTCTAGCATTGACTTTGCTTGTCTGAAGCCAGCTGGGAAGGTTACAAATGGGGAACACATGATCCTAGGACACTACAACTGTCTTAAATACACATGTTACCAAGTGCCCAAATTTTGATCATATGACCATGAGAATGCTGCAACAGTCATAAGTGTAAAAAACTGTCATAAATCACTTTTTCAGAGCTGTTGTAACTTTGAACAATCACTAAACAATGGTTATAAACTGACTACCTGTACTCATTTGTTACCAAACACAATTTTATTCTCTAAAATGTCTTTTGATTGTAAAAATAAACCAGTAAATATTATCAGATAAAAATTCAGAATAACCAGATACAGTTGAAATGAATGAAAAGGAATGCACTGCATTTAAATATTTACTAACATCAGTGTGCAAAATACATACATATATACACACCCCATGTTAGCTTCCTATAGATTAGAAAACAGAGCAAGATGAATGATCTTTAGTTTATATATAGATCTATACTATCTATACCGGAGTCTCATTATTTTCTGAAGTCAACTGTTTCTATTTTGTTTTTAAAATACAATTGTTACTTATATAGATGAATACAAAATAATTATTAGAAATAGAATGGGTTCAAGTGCCACATGATTAAAAAGTTTATGTAAACAGTATGAGTCTCTTGAATTTTTTGAATTACAGATTTGAAAAGGTAGTTAAACATTCTTCTCCTTAGGACAGGGGTCTTCAAACTTGCCTGGCTAAGGAATTCTGGGAGTTGAAGTCCATAAGTCATAAAAGGGCCAAGTTTGAAGACCTCTGCCCTAGGATATGCTCATACTGAACTAAATAAGGATACACTTCTAATAGGAAAAACCTTCTATGCAAAGTTTCTCCCATGGCAATGATTCTGAATGGATTAAAACAAGGTTTGATTGACTTCATCTGAATAATTGGACTTGTACCCACCATAATCAAACACTTATTTCAGGATATAAAATATAACTACAATTTAAAAAGTCTGTGGTAAAACTCTAATCCATACAATATGAACCCCAATGAAAAGATGGAACAAAAAAAAGATAAATCATACAGTAATAAACATTGGAAATGCTACGACAAAGAAGGAAAAGTTTAACACACATGGTAAAGATATAAAAAGCTCCATAGTACCTGAAAAGATATACATATTATTCAGAAAGTGTGAAAATCATTATAATTCCAGAATATATTAACAAAAAGCAGCATCGTTTACTCATACATGCTTGCTATACTGAGAATACATTTAGCCAATCTTGGATAAAAAACACAAGTCTGACAATATCCAACAAGGAGCTTAAACCTGGAAAATATGCAGCAATGGCAAAATCAATAGCATATACTCACAATAAAAATTTAATCAAATTCAAGCAAGGATTCCCATGTATACAATTTATTATGATGCAAGGAAAATATAAACTCTTCTAATATATTCTGTTTAAACAAGAAACTCTGATCTTTGGACTGGATAACAAACTTATCTTGGCTGTTTGAATTTTGGACTGGATTTTGACCTTTTGATTAAACCAGCTGACTCTATGGCTACTTGCGGGATCCCACAGTCACATAGTTGCATTTTATGATGGTTTTGCTGAAAAGTGGCAAAACCACGCTGCTACTGAACCACTGATTTGCTTAATGCCTATGGCATTTGCTTAACAATCATGGGTTTGCTTAACAACCATAGTGATTCACTTAATGACTACTGAAAAAATGGTTGAAAAATCAGATCGGTCTCATGAAATTATTTAAAAATAATACTTAAACACTAAAAGTCTACAACTGAGAATATTTTAACTGGTTTTTAATGTTTATATATCCTACAATTGTAGTATAAATGTTTCTATCATATAGAATGCTTTTAGAGGTATTCTAGATTTTTCTTCTTTCTAACCTTTGATGGAGTGATTAAATAGCTCATTTCCTTTTCCTAAAGCAACTATAATATGTCTGAAAAAAATGAAATATTCTTTTTTCGCCATTTATATTTCTGATAGGAAAGTAGCTGTGACAAAAGCTACAGTCATGTGAAAAAGAAAGTACACCCTCTTTGAGTTCTATGATTTTATGTATCAGGACATAGTAAAAATTATCTGATCCTTAGCAGTTCTTAAAAGTAGGAAAATACAACCTCAGATTAACAACGCATATGACATATCATCATTTATTTTACAAAAAGGCCAAAATGGAGAAACCCTGTGTGAAAAACTAAGTATACCCTTACAGCTTCCATAGGTTTGAAGAGGCTAAGTAGCAGCCAGATGCTGGTAATCAGATGCTCTTGATCAAAGATAATCAAACAACAAATCAGCGAACACCTAGAGGCAAACAAAGTCATTAATAAAAGCCAACATGGGTTTGTCAAAAACAGATCATGCCACACAAATCTTATTGCATTCTTTGACCAAGTGACAAAATTAGTGGATCAGAGGAATGCTGTGGATATAATTTACTTGGATTTCAGCAAGGCATTTGATAAAGTAGATCACAACCTACTACTCGACAAGATAGAAAAATGTGGGGTAGACAACATCACCACCAGATGGATCCGTAGCTAGCTGACCGGCTGTACTCAGCAAGTGGTCTACATGGAGGGAAGTGTGTAGTGAGGTGCCCCAGGGCTCTGTTCTGGGCCCAATGCTCTTCAACATCTTAATCAGCGATTTGGACGAGGGGATAGATGAGGAACTCATCAAATTTGCAGATGACACCAAGCTGTCAGGAATAGCCAACACTCCAGGCTTAAGATACAGAAGGATCTAGACAGACTTGAACACTGGGCACTATGTAACAAAATGAAATTCAATGGTGAAAAAAGCAAGGTACTACATTTAGGCAAGAAAAACCAAATGTACAGGTGTAGTATAGGGGGTACCTTGCTCAATAGTAGTAACTGTGAGAGGGACCTCAGAGTTCTAGTGGACAATCACTTAAATATGAACCAGCAGTGTGCTGCAGCTGCCAAAAAAGCCAACACAGTGCTAGGCTGCATTAACAGAGGGATAGAATCAAGATCACGTGAAGTGTTAATACCAATGCCTTGGTAAGGCCACACTTGGAATACTGCATCCAGTTTTGGTCACCGTGATGTAAAAAAGATGTTGAGACTCTAGAAAGAGTACAGAGAAGAGCAACAAAGATGATTAGGGGACTGGAGGCTAAAACATATAAGGAACGGCTGCTGGAATTGGGTATGTCTAGTTTAATGAAGAGAAGGACGAGGGGGGACATGATAGCAGTGTTCCAATATCTCAGGGGATGCCACAAAGAAGAGGGAGTCAAGCTATTTTTCAAAGCGCCTGAAGGCAGGATACGAAGCAACGGATGGAAACTAATCAAGGAGAGAAGCAAGTTTTCCTAAGGGAAAACTTCCTGACAGTTAGAACAATTAACCAGTGGAACAACTTGCCTCCAGAAGCGGTGAATGCTCCAACACTGGAAGTTTTTAAGAAGAGACTGGACAGCCATTTGTCCAAAATTATATAGGGTTTCCTGCCTGAGCAGGGGGTTGGACTAGATGACCTCCAAGGTCCCTTCCAACTTTATTATTATTATTAACTGATCAACAGCAAGTGTGACTACTCTCTATAAAAGCTGACATTTTAGGTGTTTCCTGATCTCCAACATTGAGGTGTGTATTAACACAATGCCAAAGAGGAAAGATATCAGCAATGATCTTAGACAGTGGTGGGATTCAGCCAGTTCGCATCACTTCGGCAGAACCGGTAGCTATTTTTTTGTTGCCCAGGCCCCAAATGGACTTCCGGAAGCGGCATCCACAGAGAACGGGTTGTTCACATATTTGAATCCCACCACAGATGTTAGAAAAGCATTTGTTGCTGTCCATCAATCTGGAAAAGATTTTAAGACTATTGCCAAACAATTTAAAGTCCATCATTCTACAATGAAGATTATTCACAAATCCTCCACTGGATTAGGCCCCTGCGTCCCCTGGTCCTGTCCCCTTCCACTGATAGCATGATGTAATATGTTATGTGTTGTTCATCAGAGGTTGTATTTACTTTTAAAAACTACTAAGGATCAGATGATTTTTACTGTGTCCTAATAGGTAAAACCACAGAAGTCAAAAGAGAATGTATTTTCTTTTTCACATGACTATATATTAAGAAATTGATATTATTTATAAAGCAAAATTTTAAACTCTGCAGGAAAGAACTGATCAACATTATATGTCAGAATAGCCAAAACTACAATAAATGTTATTATTTGAATATCAAAAGCTATTAGCACTAACTGGAATACATACCATTTATGGAATCAGTTTGACAACAGCGTTTATAATTTTATATCATTATTGTTGTGTCTTATTGTGCTACAAGCAGACTGATTCTACTAATTCATGCAATTATTTCTAACCTAATCACAAATCCTATAAAAATAAAGGGATAGCACAAGTAGCTGATCTAATCAAAAGCAATTCCAATGTTCTATCATCCCAAAGTATAGGCTTATGTTGTTTTATATGTTGATTCATAATCCAGCCAAGCAATAAACTCACAAATCACAATTAAACAAGGTGTAACAGGAGGTCAGAAGAAGATTCAACAACATAATAATTCACCTAAATGACATGCTCCAACCTGCATTTATAGATCCAATTTTTAATACATTTTATATATCAATGTCCTCAACACTGCATAATATCATGTAAGTGACTGCTGCCTGATAAGCCTTTATTTTTGTGATTTAAGCCTTTCAGAGCAAATTTATGTTAAATCACACATATTGTGAAAATCTTGGTTCTACTCATTTAATTTGATGATCAGATGAAGTATCACAAATGTTTACACTAAGACAAATATTTCTCTTCCCTCAAGAACCATCAGTTCCAAAAGGCAAAGAAGACAGGAGCATTTACAGGTGACAACCAGAAATATTCCACCAAACTATACTGCATGTAGCCCATGATTAGCCCAAAGACCACATCTGTTACATTATGTCTGCCAAGCATGACCCTAGAGATTCCCACTATGAAGGTCCAAAGTACAACCAGCACTCTCAGAGGGATTGCAAGTACAAGATGATGTAGTATAAATCTGCACACCATGGCGGCTCTGGTAGCATGGCCTGAAGGAAAGGAATATTTGTCCACAGAGACAGTGGCAAACATGTCCATCTTGTTGTAGACTGGGCGCCTTCGTTTCACCAGTCCTTTTACTGCTGCCACCAAAACTAGATCAAGAATCAGAGCTGTGAGATAAGGCAGAGAAACAACTTTCAGGTATTTTAAAGAGCAACGCTATAAATTACAAAGCTTCAAACCCAACAAATATAGTATTGCTTGTAAATTCACTTTTCAGATGAGTAGAAGTAGTGTATACCTTTTTTTAATGAAAATTATCAGCACTTTTGATCAGTGACGTCATCAAAGTAAACAAACCCACATGCTGATTACGTCAACAGGTCATGGCCCTAAATGGAAGTGACGTGCTCAGCCCCCACCCTCCGGATGTGACGTTTTGGCCTAATCCCATCAAGATTGGCAGTCAATTCTCTGGGTACATGATTAGGTTAACCCTAGACTAATTCTATGTACATTCAAAACCAAAAAGAGCTAAGTAAAGTGAATAATTAGCAGAGGCCTGTGTTTTTGGGAAACAAGCCCTACTTTGGGGAGCTGGTTTGCTTGTGACTGCGGACATGATTTGTGGGGCACAGGCGGGTCAGAGTATTATAAAATAGCGTGTTATAGTCCTTTATCTTCTTGATTCTGATAGTTGTGTGCAGGCCTGCCCGCACAAACTCCCCTGTCCCTTGCAATGACACGCCCTTGAGCGTTGCACATGCCCAGATCACAGGGAGCATGACATGCCCGGGCATGTCCCTGCCCCGCACAAACTCCCCTGCCCCTTGCAATAACACGCCCTTGAGCATTGCGCATGCCCAGATCACGGGGAGCATGACATGCCCGGGCATGTCCCAAACAAGGCCTAACCCCCCTTTTTTACTAGCAGACAGACAGAAACACACATGCCCGGAATTGCGGTCCTGACATGCCAGAACAAGTTTTAAAACCCTACTGCAAGGCTGCTTGCCTCTTGTGAGCCTGGTTGGCTGCTTTCCTCTTGTGAGCATTTTAATTTCTGTTAATATTCCTTGTCTTTTGCTATAGGGGGGAGGGGGGCAGAATAAATTTTATTCAGGGTGCAAATGGCAAAATATGTGTCTTTAGATTTTTTACAAAGGTAAAAACCAGCTGTGGGTTTTAAAAGGGGCTGTGGTTTGTTTGTTTTTTCCCCTGCATTCAAGGAAATGCTTTTAAAGCCACCTAGAAATAAAAACCTTTTAGAAAAAATACTTTTTAGAAAAAAGGAGTTAAATGCAGGCTCTGGCTGCCTTTCAGGGGGCTTCTTTTCCCCCAGCTTTTGAGGCACTGATTTTTAAAACTCCACAAAAATTAAAAGCATCGTTAGGCTAGAATGATTAGAAATAAAAAGCCTTTTTTATTTCAAAGCTCCCCAAAGTAGGGCTTGTTTCCCAAAAACACAGGCCTCTACTAATTATTCACTTTACTTAGCTCTTTTTGGTTTTGAATGTACATAGAATTAATCTCCCCTTTATGGATTACTGCCTTGTCATGGCGAAGGGGCTTGCGTAACTCAATGAAGCTATAAGCTATGCCGTGTAGGGCCACCCAAGACGGACAGGTTATAGCAGAGAGTTCTGACAAAATGTGATCCACTGGAGAAGGAAATGGCAAACCACTCCAGTATCTTTGCCACGAAAACCCCATGAACAGTACTAAAAGGAAAAAAGATATGACGCTGTAAGATGAGCCCCTCAGGTCGGAAGGTGTCCAATATGCTACTGGGGAAGAGCAGAGGGCTAGTACTAGTAGCGCCAGAAAGAATGAAGCGACTGGGCCAAAGCCGAAAGGACGCTCAGCTGTGGATATATCTGGTGGTGAAAGGAAAGTCCAATGCTGTAAAGATTTTTTCTCCATAGGAACCTGGAATGTAAGATCCATGAATCAAGGCAAGCTAGACGTAGTCAAAAAAGAGATGACAAGACTGAACATTGACATCTTAGGAATCAGCAAACTAAAATGGACAGGAATGGGTGAATTTAACTCAGATGACCATCAGGTATACTACTATGGGCAAGAATCCCTCAGAAGAAATGGAGTAGCCTTCATAGTCAATAAAAGAATAGGAAAAGCAATACTGGGATACAATCCCCAAAATGACAGAATGATCTCAATTCGAATCCAAGGCAAACCATTCAGTATCACAATAGTCCAAATCTATGCCCCAACCACTGGTGCTGAAGAGGATGAAATTGACCGGTTCTATGAAGCCCTACAGCACCTTATAGAATTAACACCAAAAAATGATGTCCTTATCATCATGGGGGATTGGAATGCTAAGGTAGGAAGCCAAAAGATAACCGGAATAACAGGCAAGTTTGGCCTTGGAGTACAAAATGAAGCAGGGCACAGGCTAATAGAATTTTGTCAAGAGAATACGATGGTTATAAGAAACACTCTTTTCCAACAACCCAAGAGATGGGTCTACACATGGACATCACCAGACGGTCAGCATAGAAATCAGATTGACTATGTGCTTTGCAGCCAAAGATGGAGAAGCTCTATACAGTCAGTAAAAACAAGACCAGGAGCTGACTGTGGCTCAGATCATGAGCTTCTCATTGCAAAATTTAGGCTTAAATTGAAAAAAGTAGGGAACAGCACTAGGCCACTCAGGTATGAACTAAATCATATTCCTGATGAATATACAGTAGAGGTGACAAATAGATTTAAGGAACTGGATCTGATAGACAGAGTGCCTGAAGAACTATGGATGGAAGTTTGCAACATTGTACAAGAGGTAGCAACTAAAACCATCCCAAAGAAAAAGAAATGCAAGAAAGCAAAATGGCTGTCTGAGGAAGCTTTGCAAATAGCTGAGGAAAGAAGGGAAGCAAAAGGCAAGGAGAAAGAGAAAGATACACCCAATTGAATGCAGAATTCCAGAGAGTAGCTAGAAGAGATAAGAATGCCTTCTTAAATGAACAGTGCAAAGAAATAGAAGAAAACAACAGAATAGGGAGGACCAGAGATCTCTTCAAGAAAATGGGAGATATGAAGGGAACGTTTCATGCAAAGATGGGCATGATAAAGGACCAAAATGGCAGAGACCTAACAGAGTCAGAAGAGATTAAGAAGAGATGGCAAAACTACACAGAAGAACTATACAAGAATGAGCTTAACATCCCAGATAACCACAATGAGATGGTCACTGACCTTGAACCAGACATCCTAGAATGTGAAGTGAAATGGGCCTTAGAAAATCTGAGCGACAACAAAGCTAGTGGAGGTGACAGTATTCCAGCTGAGCTATTCAAAATCGTAAAAGACGATGCAATAAAAGTGCTACACTCAATTTGCCAGCAAATTTGGAAAACTCAACAGTGGCCACAGGATTGGAAAAGGTCAGTTTACATTCCAATTCCAAAGAAAGGCAATGCCAAAGAATGTTCAAACTATCACACCATTGCACTCATTTCACATGCAAGTAAAGTTATGCTTAAAATCCTACAAGCTAGACTCCAGCAGTATGTGGATCGAGAACTACCAGAAGTACAGGCAGGATTTCGAAGAGGCAGAGGAAATAGAGATCAAATTGCCAACATACGCTGGATCATGGAGAAAGCTAGGGAGTTCCAGAAAAACATCTACTTCTGCTTCATTGACTATGCAAAAGCCTTTGATTGTGTGGATCACAACAAATTGTGGCAAGTTCTTAAAGAGATGGGAGTACCAGACCATATCATTTGTCTCTTGAGAAACCTATATGCGGGTCAAGAAGCAACAGTGAGAACCGAACACGGAACCACTGATTGGTTCAAAATTGGAAAAGGAGTCCGGCAAGGCTGTATACTGTCGCCCTGCCTATTTAACTTATATGCAGAGAACATCATGAGAAAGGCAGGGCTAGATGAATCAAAAGTTGGAATTAAGATTGCCGGGAGAAATATCAACAACCTAAGATATGCAGAGGATACCACTCTAATGGCAGAAAGTGAAGAGGAACTAAAGAGCCTCTTGATGCGGGTGAGGAAGGAGAGTGCAAAAGTTGGCTTGAAACTCAACATTAAGAAAACCAAAATCATGGCATCCGCCCTCTCAATTCCTGCAAATAGATGGGGAAGAAATGGAGGTAGTGACAGATTTTATTTTTCTGGGCTCCAAGATCACCTCAGATGGGGACTGCAGCCAAGAAATTAAAAGATGCTTGCTCCTGGGGAGGAAAGCTATGGCAAATCTAGACAGCATTCTAAAAAGCAGAGACATCACCCTGACAACAAAAGTGCGTATAGTCCAGGCCATGGTTTTCCCAGTTGCAATTTATGGCTGTGAAAGTTGGACCATAAGAAAGGCTGAGCACAAAAGAATTGAGGCCTTTGAACTATGGTGCTGGAGAAGACTCCTGCGAGTCCCTTGGACTGCAAGGAGTTCAAACCGGTCAGTCCTAGAAGAGATCAACCCCGACTGCTCTTTAGAAGGCCAGATCCTGAAGTTGAAACTCAAGTACTTTGGCCACCTAATGAGAAGGAAGGATTCACTGGAGAAGAGCCTAATGCTGGGAAAGATTGAGGGCAATAGAAGAAAGGGACGACAGAGAATGAGATGGCTGGATGGAGTCACTGAAGCAGTAGGTGTGAATTTGAATGGACTCCAGAAGATGGTAGAGGACAGGAAGACCTGGAGGAACGTTGTCCATGGGGTCGTGATGGGTCAGACACGACTTCGCAGTTAACAACAACAAGAATTAATCTCAGGTTAACCTAATCATGTACCCAGAGGATTGACTGCCAATCTTGATGGGATTAGGCCAAAACGTCACATCTGGAGGGTGGGGGCTGAGCACGTCACTTCCGTTTAAGGCCATGACCTGTTGACGTAATTAGCACATGGGTTTGTTTACTTTGATGACGTCACTGATCAAAAGTGCTGATAATTTTCATTAAAAAAGGTATACACTACTTCTACTCAGATGTAAAAACATTCAAATTATATTTGAATTTTAGGTTGATTATAGGTTTTAGTGAAGTCTGTTCAAATAATAGGAGTCAGTGTGGCTTTTGCAGCAGCATTGTAGGCTTAAATCATATAATAACTATGGCTCTCCAAACCTGAGAAATTACACTTCTCAATATTCTGACCCAGGAACCTTATGCATATTTCCACATATAGGTCCACTTCACAATGCTCATTTGTCCAGGTACCTCTGGACTGTCATTATGTCTATAAAGAGAAAATGCTGGGTCTTATCACAACCCAGATGCCTGCAAAGTGCCTGCTGATGTTGTGTTCTAGCCAGTAAGCCACCATTTCCCACACTAGCTATAATTGAAATACAACATAAGAATTTCTTTTAACTATAGGTAATCCTCGGCTTATGACTACAATTGAGCCCATAATTTCTGTTGCTAAGTAAGACATTTGTTGTATGTTTTGCCCCATTTTATGACCTTTCTTGCCACAATTAAGTGAATCACTGCAGTTGTTAAATTAGTAACACAGTTGTTAAGGGAATCTTTATCATTGATTTTGCTTATCAGAGGGTTACAAAAGATGATCACAAGATCCCAGGACACTGCAACTGTCATAAATACGAACCAGTTGCCAAGCATCAGAATTTTGATCAGGTAACCATGAGGATATTGCAATGATTGTGTGAAAAACGGTCATGTCACTTTTTACTGTTGTAAGTCAAGGATTGCCTGTATTAATAGGCTGCTTCTTCGCATCTGTCTCCCATAGCTTTTTTCTAATGTTGGAATCAAATGCTACCATCACCAGCTCCTCATGTCATGGCAGCCTTGGAAAGTAAATTCTGTTGCTGTTGCTGCTAGTTAAACTCTGGTAAGTATCTTATTTATTTATTTATTTATGAGACTTATATACCGCTTTAAGTGCAAGCACTCTCTAAGTGGTGTACACCAGTAAGCAATGTATGTATGTGTGTGTATGTATGTATGTATGTATGTATGTATGTATGTATGTATATATATATATATATATATATATATATATCATTGCCCCCAACAATCTGGGTCCTCATTTTACCTACCCCGGAAGGATGGAAGGCTGAGTCAACCTTGAGCCGGTGAGATTGAACCGCTGACCTGCTGAACACAGTCAGCTAAAGTGGCCTGCAGTACTGCACCCTAACTGCTGCGCCACCTCGGCTCTTGCAACATCATGCCTCTTCTCATTCAGCTCAACCATTTTGAGGGCAGCAGGCCAGGAGGCAAAGCAGATTGTTACCTAATTTAGGTAAGCGCCCTAATTTCTACTCAGTTTCAGAGGACTTTTTAGGTTAAAAACTGTACATTACACAGTTCAAAAGCTTGAGATGTAGCCCATTTCTGAAAATGTACAAAAAGATTCTGAATGTTTTACAAAATACTAATAGTACCATAATTTTGGTGTCTGTTGAATTTGGAGTAAAAAATGTCCTACAATCCATAATTTAGGGAGATTCCTAACTCAGCTCCAACACTTTTCTAAATCTGTAATTACCGTTAGAGTCTTGTCATTATCCTGTTGTGCTTTCCAAAGACAATGATTGATTGACAATTCACAGCACACTTTCAACAGTATGTGTCACTGCACTATTCTGACTGAGGAAAAACAAAGTGAATGAAGTATGTTGTGTATAATATGGACCAAGGAATAAGCCATGAACATTAAAACTATTAATCAAGTCGAACACTATAGCATCTTTTGGAGAAATTGAAATAAGCAAACAAATCCTCAAGTAGCAGCTCCAAATCCCTTTTTCTATTTTCCTGTAGCAAACTTATTTTACAGCAAGATGGGAAGCCTGAAGTTCCTTAGCACAATAAAGATGATTTTTTAATCTTTTTAAATGAATGTATTCATGTGTATTTGAAACAAATTCCAATCTTTAATGGCCTTTCAAAAGCTGAAAAAAGTAAATAGCAAAGAATTATTAATGGCACATATTTACACAGTAGTTAAGCATGTCTTCAAGTGTGAAGAGATACTATTATTATATGTACTGTACATTCTTGCCCTAGCATGTGCACATGGGTTAAGGAAAAACTCCAAATTCCAGTTTTTTATACCATGGCCCAGAAGTAAATAAACTTGTCAGTAAGGACCTGAGGATTTAGAGGAGAAAAGCAGTTTAGTCCAATATCTGAAAATATATATCGAGGCACTATAGTCGACCTTACTGTCAGTGCCATGATGGAAGATCACAATTGAACACAACACAGGATTTGGAATAGGATCTGAGGAATTTAATACTTACCCTTGTAAAATACTTATTAGGGCCTACATATGCATCAAATAACATTTGTGTCCAAACATGGGCTGAATATACTCAAAGCGCAGCAAGACTATACAATGGCCCTTTGGCAAAACAGAATATTTAGAGGGCTCTGGCGACTCTGAGCTTTTTGTATTACATATTCCATGCGTAGCCTGCATATTGTTATGGCACAAAATATTATTTTAAGATACTTAAATTACTTGATCTGCTCTATTGGATGATTATTTAATTTCCAGACATGCATTTTAGGGCATTTTGTAAACACCAGTACTTTGGTTCTATTTTAATTAATTTCTAGGGCTTCTGTATTTCAGTGTTCAACTGAAGTACACAATTCTGTTTTTAACCCAGCATTGGGAGAAGAATATTACATCATATCCATATAAAAGAATTTCCATTATTATGGAAACTATCTACAAAGAAAAACAAAGGACAGAAAAATGAAAATATTATTCTTATCCCTATCAATTCTCTGATATTATTCACATCTTGGTCCAATCATCATAAGAGAAAGAAACAACAAATACAAGGAACAAAACTCTACTGGGTAAGACAAAGAAGGCTCTTACCAAAGAGTAGATTAAGCAGCACCTCACGACCTGCTGAGGTGCCACTTCTGTAAAGCCCGTACAATGTACCAGTTAGCCAAGGAATTCCATGTCCTGACACCTCTATGACCATCATGAGAGGACGAACACTACCCCATGGGGAATTCTCTCCAGCACATATACCCAGTAGTTTAGAGGTCCACAAATCAACAGCCAAAAGAGAATGCAGGGCAATGCCCCAGAAAGAAGGATTGAGCTTCATACAGTCCTCTTCGGGTAAAGCCTGTTGAGGGCCAGTACTAGTAGGAGAGTCTTTATGATGAGACATATTTTCTGGGGATATTGGGCCTCTCTGATCTGGCAATGATAAGAACTCTAGCTTACTGCCATAAGCCCGTCTCTCACGAATGCTCCTTGGACTGTTTCTAGGACTTGGCATGATGGTGCTGATATAGCATCTGTGGAAGAAGGAAAAAAAGTTTGTTGCATCAAATGTTTCTATACCTAGAATCATACAGATGGAAGAGGCTATGTAAGCCATCAAGTCCAACCATATGCTCTATATAGGAATCCAAATTATGCTTGCTCTTGAATTCATCCAAAAAAGGGAAGCCCACACACTAAGCAATTGTTGAACTGCTAGCAAAGCTTCTTTTTCTAACATTTAGTATAATTGGTATCTGCCTTCTTATAACTTAAATTCATTATTCTATGACCTATAGACGTATAGAAATGAAAATGAAATATTTTCAAATATATGGACAGTTCCATTATAGGTGGTGCTCAATTAACAATCACTCATTCAGCAACCATTCAAACCTGCAAAGGAGCTGAACAAGTAGTATCTACGAACGGCCATTTGCAGCACCTCCAAAATTATATGATCATGATGTACGGTGCTCAGCAACCAGCCTAGATTACTGACTGTTGCAGCATCCCACAGTCACAATTTGCAAAATCACAATTTGCAACCTTCCCTTCTGGCTTCTGACAAGCAAAGTCAATGGGGAAACCAGGAAGTCAGAAGCTGCCGTCATATTGAGGTCCTTGTTTGATGACTTTCATGGTCCTTGCAACTGGGGACTGCTGGAAAAGTCATTGCTAAGCAGCATGGTCAAATGACTTCACACTTTATGACCACCTCAGTGATGAAATTGTGATCCCAATTACAATTATTAAGCAAGGACTGTCTGTTACTTTTTCTCAGGATCAAATACCAAGCTTCTCTATTTTCTCTACATAGGATATATTTTCCAGTCCCTAGATCATTTGTACTGCCTTTTTCTGAACCTGCCTTTGAATCTTTCTTAAAATATGTTGCCCAAAACTGGACACAACACTTGAGATAGAATCTAACAAAGGCAAAAAAACAACAACTGCTTCCCGTTTTGATATTATTTCAGTTGATGCAGTTCAAAATTGTATTTGACTGTTTTGACGCCACATTACACAACTGCCTTATATTCATTTCATTACTGCCTTCTTCAGTATTACTCTATTTCAGGGGTGTCAAACTGCCGGCCTGCGGGCTGGATGCATCATAGCAAAACCGCGCCCACCCCATTGCCGGCAATAGCAAAAAAGTCAAGATACGTTGTGATACGTCACGTGATGTTGCGAGTTTGACACCCCTGCTCTATTTATTTCACCCCATTGTATATCTTCCACACAGTTGATAGACATTTACACCATCTATTTATAAGTTATTAACCAAAAAAATCTGAAGAGCATATTTATTTTGAAGAAATTCTGAATTTATCTAAATATACTATTTTGTCACTTTATGCATTCTTTGTTAACATATGATTCTGGGTATTACCTTCTTGACATCACTCCAATAGTTACAGGTTGCCTATTTGTATTCCTATTTGTGACTTTTCTATCTTTCTATTTGTTTTATTTGTCCTTTTTGTTTTTGAATGTTTACTAAGCTTTTTACATGGCTTATTTCTACTGTCCTCCATTATTTTTTCCCTAACGGAGTAGTTCACAATTATGCTTCAAAATTCTCAGAAAATTTGAGCTTGTTTTTGCCCTTTAGTTTTTGTGCCATAGAATCCTACTTGTCATCGCTCTAAATATATTAAAATCTGCTATTTTAATAAAAGGTCCCCAAAATGTGTTTAATAATTATTCATTTTTAATTTTCCTTAAAATAAAAAATGTTAAAATTATATTGGTCTAATGTTCCTGCTATTTCTACTTGCTCAGCAAAATTATTCCTCTGTTGCTATTGAGTCAAAGATAACTGATACTCTTCTTCCTTTCTTCACATTTGAATGAAAATTATCAGCAAGATCAGGTTTTGACAGAATTTGTCATCCAACAGACATTGGGGTAATTAAGTCAGTTTAGTATAGGGGAGACTGTGAATTCTAGTCCTGACTTAAGCATGAAAGCCAGCTGGATGATTTTAGGCCAGTCACTCTGTCTCAGGCAAACCCACTTCATAACCCTAAAGCACCATATAGTTTCAAACTGGGTGTGTAGTGCCTGGTGAAATCTGAGATGACAGGCAAGGGAAGAACCTGATTTAATAGTTTTAGGGGATGATATATTTAGGCTCTGACCGACTCTGTGTGTGTGGATTTAAATATAAATTACCATATGGCGCAGATTAGTATTTATTGGTAATAAATATGCTCGATATTAAAACTTCATTACACAATCACATCTACATTTGTTTTTTGCTTGTTTGAATTGGTCCCTAAATTTATTACTTCACTATGAAAGCACTCTTGATGTAAACTATTTGAGGAGTGTATTAAATGAAAGCTTTTCTCTCCACTCAACAAACTGGAAGTTGTGTCTTAACAACCATCGGTAGGTATCAATTTTGCGAATTATAAATTTCAGCAATGTTAAATGCCAATATATGTTTAACAACAATATTTACGATTAATGTATATTACAGAAAACAGCTCGGCCTCTTGGGAACAGAGAACTTGGGAGCCTTCGAGAATGGTCGATTTAGGATTAGCGCCACACACATCCCAGGGATCCCAAGACAAAAAAATCATCGGATCGCATTTCCCAAGTAATTCCTTTCCTCGCCCGACCAAGGACTGCAGGTCCCGCACTTCTCTGTTTCAGCGATCGCCCTGTAGGAATTCACCCGCCCCAGTCGCCACGCGATACCTTCCGAACCCGCCACCCGGCTCAGATGACGCCGCCACGTGACTGCTCCCAACGCCCGCCCACTATCAACCCCCTGCAGCCGTTTTTTTGCCCCATATTACCAAGCGGCCTTTAACTCGGCGCGATCCTCCTCTGCTTCCCTTGTGCACAAAAAGAAGCCACGCCCGGACGCGTAGGAGACGTGAGAAGGCGTGCATATCCAACTACTTCCTTGTGTTGTATGGGTATGGAAGCTTTTAAGCGTTTGATCATTTGATCTTGCCTTTCTTCGAAAGTAATGGATATTCGAAGATTTCAAAAATAGAATTTACGGGCACTCCAGTGACAGTAAAAATGCGTTGTAATGTTTCAAAATCAAAATAGATACTTTTGTGTGTGTGTTTTCGGACAGCACTGGCTCCCTCGGCTAAGAAACGGAGATGAGCACGGCCTATCTATTTTAATTTTGAAACGTTACAGCGTATTTTTACTGTCATTTGGAGTGCCCGTAAATTCTATTTTCGAAAACTTTGATAGACTGGACACGGGACATCTTTACACAGTGCGCGCATCATCGCACTGATAGAATATTGTTAGCTCAGGATTGAACTGTGGTTGAAGACATATATCACTGTCTTGACACTGGTACCTGTGTTTTGAGCTGACAGAAAATATTTTCTATAAGGGTTTTGAAAGAAATGCTTTGAAATTAGAATGTCTTTGAATTCATTTATACATCACTTCGTTTTTCCCCTCTCCCAAAAAAACAAAACAAAACCACCACAGGAGGGCAGTCATTTTTATGGTAGCCCAAAAATCAGAAACTTAGTATCTTGTAAGTTTAATCTATTTTATAAGGCATGGGCTTTGAGACACAGCTGATAAACAGATGAAACTTATGAAAACATATTTTTAAAATAAAATTGGTTTTAAAAGTTAGGGGGTTGGACTAGAAAACCTTCAAGCTTTCTTCCAGCCCTGCAATTCTATGATCATGCATAGCTTGACTGCTTCTGACTTGGTGCAGAACCTAGTATTGGTCTTTGAGTCAAATCAGAAATCCATTTCTAATTGTAATTGTCTGATAAGATATAGATTGTTTCTATTATCACAGTTGGCAGTTTTTTGCTACCTCTAACCTGAAGGATATTTTGGCTTACATAATTTAAGGACTGCTAGGTTTCCTATGTACAGCTGCTTCTAATTATTAAATTTGAACTATTGTAGAATTAGTTCTGTCCCACAATTGCATTTGAACTTTGAGGGAAACAGTTGGAAAGAAAAAACTGGTTATTTATGGACTTAAGGCACTTGTTAATGACTTTACTATACCGATATCTTTCCTTAGTTTAATAACTGTGAAGATGGTTCTTTTAAAAGCCTCAAGGTTTTCAATATTTATCTGCAATACTAAAAGAGCAGGGGACTCTCAGAGGCTCCATATTATAATTTAACAAGATAGTTGAAAGGGCTTTGTGCTGGACCAGTATGTAACTTTGGCCACAGCATATGTTTAGATTAGAAAACTGTGTTAGAGCATTTAGCATTTAAAGGGTTAAACACTGTCTCCTTAAGAGATGGTCTCTGGGAAATGTAATCTTGTTAGTCAGTCCTATATCTTATCTAGTCAGTGGGAGGGGCTTCAAAGTTTATCACAGGATGTCCTGACTACGTGCCAGGGTTGTAAAAGCCTTTGTTTAATCAAGCATCATGCACGCATCGATTGGCATCCTAGCTCATGCCTAGCTGAGATGGGAAATTATCCCTTTTTACCTATGAGAATGGACAGATATGAATATGACCGGATGTATCTGCTGCAAAGTAAGTCTCTGCTTAGAATTCCTGGACAATAAATATCTTTTAAAACCATTTTGGTGGAGTTTATGCTATCTGGATCAGAACTATAACACATCTCAGTTCATGGTTCCAGAAAAAGCTTGACCAGGATGAAGTTCTCGGGTGATTAGTGCTAGTTGCAGCTAAAGAAGGTATAGATTTAAGGAGACAGAGCCTGCACATTGTTTGAGTGGTTAGGAAGAATGAAAAGGGCCTGTCTCAGAACAGTTATGATCTTACATGTTGGTTCTATGGTAGAGTAAGAGTGTAATGTGTGGCTTTGGGGCTACTGTAAATCAAAATACACTTTTTCCTCTTTGGCGTCTGGTATTCTGTTCCTTCCACTGTATGTTGTCATGAATTTGGTGAGACCTGTCCCAATCCAATCCCTTAGGAAGAAAAGCCTTTGACTCCATTTGGTTAAAGCAAAGATTTCTTTTACTAAAAGTGATGGTTGCAGTAAAGTCAAATTAGCTCTGAAATCCATGCTCACTGGATACAAAAATAAGGTGTAAGTTTGTCCCCAGGCCATCTCTCCTCTCCCCCCCTCCCCCATGACCAGTCCATTTCCAGCCAACAGGAGCTTGCCAAGATGTTTTGAGAACTCAGATGTTTGGGGGTAATCAGTGTGGGGAAAAGGGTCTATTGCAGTGATGGTGAACCTATGGCATGTATGCCAGGGGCGGCAATCAGAGCCCTCTCTGTGGGCACTTCTCTGAACTGCTGGTGGCAGGCTGCAGAGTCCCAGAGTGCACCGGTTGAGGGGCCAGCAGGCTGTGCCTGCTGACAGACACTATCGGCCCCCATGCGCTCGCTGGTCTCTGTATGCGGGGGTTGATGGTGTCAAGCAGCAGCTGCCCCGGCCCCTGCCTTGCCTTCCCCTGAGATAATGGCAACCCCACCCTGCCTTGCCTCACCCCACAGGACGAGCCTCCTACCCACCACCCCACCTGCCAGAGACCCCCTGGATCTCCCCCAACCCTGCCCGGCCCCCACAGGCGTCCCCACGAGCAACTTTGAGGTGACCACGCCCCCCTTGGCCACACCCATCCAGTCTGCCATGACCACCACAGCCACGCCCATCCAGTGGGCCACACCCACCTGGCACCCAGCAATAAATAAGTGGGTTTTGGGTTGCATTTTGGGCACTCTGTCTCTAAAAGGTTCGCCATCACTGGTCTATTGTTTTTATAGAAACTGCAGAAGACATGCTAGCTAGCCTGTGAAGAAATACATTGTCTATATTTTAATCTCATGAGCCTAGCTGAAGCTTGAGAATTGTATCTAGAAAGGTCTCTGCTATGCTGAAAACCTGTCTTAACCAGAATTTACTAATATGATAGTAACTCTAGAGACAACCCCTAGGAACTAACAGCCAAAAAGGTAATTTGTAAATAAGGGCAGGGGGTGATCAAATTAGAGGAGTGGGAGATGTAATCAGGAGTGGAGATAATGTATTCACTTTAGGAGCTTTGGATAGGTTGTGACAGCATGATTACAGCATGATTACTAAGCCAATGAAGAAGAGATGGTAAATTTGTAATGGCAATAGAGAATATAAAGAATGTATTGAAGGTTTAAGGTATGTCCACTGTGTGCTTGCATGCACAAGGAACATCCTCTTTGCAAAGTAGTACAAATAAATTACATTGTTTTCTCTTAGTTTTGGCTGATGATGGTTTATTTCAACTAGACAACAAATCCCACATCCGCATACTTCTCACGGTGCCTGGCTGTGAGATGCTGGTACAAACTGGATCCAGCTCCTCTGGTCCTTCTCACCTGTCATTCCCTCCTCCCGATTTCCTGTCATAAAGACAAAGCTTTATTATCTTTTCACCCTTTTCTTCTTTCTCCCTTCTTCTTTTTTATGGCAGGATTCCTGTGAAGCCCCCCAAGCTGATCCAGGCAGATTTGACATTTTGCCTGTCTTGCCAGATCTGATATGTGTCTAAATGCAAATGCAATATAATTTGTTCAGAAATTTCTTTGAATCAGAAAAGAATGGATAAGCTGAGTCTTCTCTAGTTCAGATATGAAACAATGTATTTATTTATGAGACTTATATACCGCTTTAAGTGCAAGCACTCTCTAAGCGGTGTACACCAGTAAGCAATGTATATATATATTTACATTGCCCCCAACAATCTGGGTCCTCATTTTACCTACCCCAGAAGGATGGAAGGCTGAGTCAACCTTGAGCCGGTGAGATTTGAACCGCTGACCTGCTGAACACAGTCAGTCCTATTGGAGCACAGAAAGGGTGGCAACTGATGCTTCTGTTATCTTGTTAATGTATTCTAACATTTCTATTGGGGAGTAGTTCTTTGACTCAGTGTCTTTAATTGATGCTATTCAAATATCCTGTCTTTCAGAGGTAATTTAGAGGTCTAAGTCCATTTTTAATGTATACAGAAAATGAAAAAAAAACTCCAAAGAAATGTGATTCATAAAATTTAGGCCAAAATAAAAAACCCTATGAAACAAAAACAAGCAATTCTAAGTTCCTGTTGGATTTTGAGCTAGTTTAGAGCCCTTTCTTGGGATGAGAGAAAGTTTTTATTTCCAGAGGCTGGAGGTCTCCGAGAAAAACCCAGACCAATTTGGGAAGTAAGATATTTTGTTCTCAGCCTACTGGGAGTAAAATAAGAAATAAGGTTTTCTGTAATATATTATCTTCAAAAACATTTTAGGACAGTTTTTTTTTTAAAAAAAAAACTGGCACAAAATTGTAACAGTTATTTAGTAAAGGCAGCTGTTAAGAGTATTCTCTAAAATGCAAAGAAAAAAAGATCCAGACTGTGCTGGACCAGTATGTAACCATCTGGCCAGTATGTAACCATCTGGCCAGTATGTAACCATCTGGCCAGAGCATATATAAGTAGCATTTAAGGGGTTAAATGCTGTCTCCTTAAGACAGGGGCGTCAAACTCAATTTCATTGAGGGCCGCATCAGCATCGTGGTTGCCATTGGGGGGCTGGGTGGGTGTGGTTGGCATGGGCATGGCCTACTGGGTGGACATGGCCAGCTCCATGTCACTCATGTCAGGGGCACATGTGTAGGCCTGGGCAGGAATGAGGCGCATCTGAGGGTGGGGAAGGGTGGGTGGGACGGGGCGAGCGGGACGGGGCGAGCGCCAGGTCATGGTCCACTGGAAGAGTCTCACTGAGCCTCAGGCCGTGCATGGGGCCCCTGGACAGTGGCATGGACTGCCCAGAGCCCTGGGCAGCAGAGGTCAAGTGCCCAGCCTGGCCCTTGAGCTCCCACGGCATCAGGACCCCATAGCCCTAGTCTAGCCGCACTTCCCCGAAGGGGCACCCAGCTGCAGTTACCTCCTCCTCAATGCTGCTGCTGCTATGCTCACTCTCCTTCGCCAGGTTGCTCATGGTGTGTGCAGGAGGAAAAAGTGCGTGGGTCAGAGGGAGGTCCACTCCCTTTCCGTGCGAGGAAACCTGGCTGTCAGAATCCAATTATATTCCATTTCTAGTTATCTACTATGGAAAACCCCATTTCTGCTCTCTCTGGATTCTGTCATACTACGAAGGGGAAGGGGGATGAGCAAAGGGGTTTTATGGCTTTCACTTCCTTCATTAAACTTCAAAGGGACTGAATGTGGATTCTCACCAAGAGGACTGACCCTAACAATATGGCATAACCTTTCATCTACTCCTCTCTGAAGTCTCCCTTTTGCCGGCAGTAAGGGAAAAGGGGGGGGGGAAACAATGCAGCGCCTGGAGTGTGGGAAAAGAGAGGAGGAGGATCGTCGCCCGGAATAACTGTGGGGTGGGGGGCTGCTTGAAAACACTTAAAACATTTAAGGGTGGGAGAGAATTCCTCAAATCCTGTCTAGCACGCCTACAATCATTTTCTCTTAATAAATATGCCTGTTGGAAGAGATATTCCAAGAGTTCTGTATTCTTAAGATGTAAAGTGAGGTGGGTCCTTACATTAGACATGATCTACAAAAATAGTCCACCTGGAAGGGAGAACCTTGCCGGGGGACTTTGCAAAAAATACCATGTCAGATGACGGAGTAGGGAAGGGAGAAAGCCCCCCGGGGAGGGAGCCACTGCCCCGACTGAAAACCTGCCAGATGTCAGGATCTGAGAAGTCAGATTCCTCAGGAGAAGAGGTGGGTGAAGACGCGCAACCACAAACCTAGTCAATGGGCGTTGGAAAGAAAGGCAAGTGGGAAAAGGAATCAAGAAAGGTGACCTTGAGATGGGGCCCCACCAAACCAGAATGGAAGCAGGAGATGGGGAAATTCCTGTACATGGGGTGAATTTACCTTTAATTTTTTACACCACAAGAATGGACAGATTGTGAAACGTGCCTCAGAAGAACTCTCCATTAACTGTGAGTTATTGTTTAGAGATTCCTGAAGAATAAATAATCTGAATATTAATCCATCTTTGGAGTTAATCTGTCTGTGTTAAGCAGGAATAAAGCAAATCTCTTGTTTGGAACAGAACAGTGATTGCTGGGACACTTCGGATTTGGCCTTCTGGATTTCGGGCAAGAAGGAGAATCTCAACCACCAGATGTGCAAACCAGTGAGAGAGCCGACCATCTGGATCACGAGACCTTCCCTCCAGATCTGCACAACTTACCCCAATGAACCAAACCATAGATAATAACCAGATGGGTCCATATGCAATGACGACGACTCCACAGCAGGAGAGCACAAGGTGCCATGATTCCTAAGCTCAATGCAATGGCAAAGGAATTCCGGCCAGACCCTCAAGGCCCCTCGTGTGAGCCATGGGAAGTTACCCTCAGCAAGCAGCATGCTGAAGAAAATCACCAGCCAGCTCTCGTATATGCCCCTGCTCTTGAGAGCAATGCACTACTTCCACCTGACTACACCCCCTATATGGCACTAATATCTCCTTCAACATCCTGTGGAAGAAGGTGGGATATGGCATCCAGAGGTGTGCAAAAATTCTCTGACAAACTGGGGAAGGAGTACTTATTGTGGAAGCATATTTTCAAGCATACCCTCAGCAAAGAAGGGTTGGACCCAGCCGAAGAGATCGGGCTTATGATGACATGACTGGGACCAAAATCTACAAAGGTAGTGAAGGACATCTACATATCCCAATTAGGTGACCCAGAAATTGCCCTTCAGCAAGCCAGTGAAAGGCTCAATAAGCATTATGGGGCACCCGCATTGACAAGAGTCTTCGTTCTTGGATTGTATCTATGAATTCCGTGACATCAATATCAATGATCTTAGCCAGATGTGGGAATTCTCCAATTTATTTACACAGCTCTGGGCAGCACAAAAAAAATCCTACCATGCCGGGACTTGTCTGTCTTGATCAGTTCAGGATGCAAAGGTTTATCATTCAAAAACTACCAAGGCAGTTAAAGGAAAAATGGATCGATGTATCAGAGACTTACTAGAAGCAGAACCCTGGCAAACCTCCCCCCTTTGTTGTTCTTGCAGAATTTGTTTCCCACCAAGCAGACCGGTACAATAACCCTTACCACCTCAGTAACAGTGAAAAATGTTTTCCAGCGGCCAAAAGGACCAGTCAGAATTCTAGTGCAACCAAGGGTCCAGTCCAAACCACAAGGGGTAGAACCCTTGTCTCTGTGCATAAGACAGTGGTTGCTACCTTACCTAGGAAAACTTCAAATGAGCAACTGTCAAAGAAATCTCAATCTAAACCTCTGCAAGCAGATAAAGACCTGATTTGTCCACTATATTAATCCTCTCATTCTCTGAACAAATGCAGAGAATTTGGAAAGAAGTCCCTGGATGATCGAAAAGCTTTGCTCAAAGAGCCCAAAATATGCTACAAGTGCTGTGAGTCTACAGAACACATGGCCAAAGATTGCACAGCTAAGGTGAAATGCCACCTATGCAAGAGTGACAAGCATCCGGGAGCCTTGCATCCAGACTCTAAGCAGCCACAACAAGCAACTTCTACTCCTCCTACGACAAAGGAGCTTCAATGTGGCTCCAAAGAGCACCCAGAGGTGCTAGCCAAGATCCACTGCATGTCAATATGTGGTGACTCACCACTTCCTCATTCATGCACCCCCATCTGTCTAGCTAAAGTCTACCCCAACAGATGCCCAGAAGAAGCCGTGAAGATGTATGTGGTACTAGATGCACAAAGCAATACCACAATAGCTAAGTCAGCATTCTTCTACCTCTTCGATCTCCCAAGTGAAGAAACGCTTTTCAGAATAAAAATGTGCACTGTACCACAGAGCACGGCAGGGAGGAAAGTCTCTGGACTGTGCATAGAGTTGTTAGATGGGAGTTCACAGTTCCTACTGCCGCCAGTGTTGGAATGAGACTCCTTACCAGGTGATTGCAGTGAAATTCCAACACCGGAGCTGGCAAGAAACATACCTTACCTATCGCACATAGCTGCTCACCTCCCTTCCCTAGATCCTGAAGCTGAAATCCTATTTATGTTGGGATGAGACGCCCTTGAGTCCATTGGTTCTTATGAAATGGTCAGAGGCCCACCAGGTGCCCCAGGTGCCCTTAAGACAGAACTTGGATGGGTCGTCGCAGGAATGGTCTGTGTCAATTGGCTACAAGCTCCAACCCAAGTGAACGTCTCAGCGATTACCATTCTTAGTAATGGGAAAGCATCCCACCTGAAACCATGCCAAAAATACTTTACACTTTCAACATCCAAGCCCATATTAGGAGAGACAATGTTCCAGACCAGCAAAGACGACAATGATGTGGCCTTGTCGATAGAGGACAAGGAATTTCTAGAGCTCATGAATAAAGAATTCCTACAGGATGCCACAGGAAGTTGGGTAGTCCCACTACCCTTCTGCATGCCCAGGCAGCACCTGCCAAACAATCATGAGCAAGCTCTCTCTCGCCTCAACAGTCTGAGAAGGATCATGAATGGGAAGCCAGAAATGAAAGCTCATTTAGTGGAGTTCATGGAAAAGATGATCCAGAGCGGACATGCCAAGCTTGCCCTACCACTAAAGAAAGATGAAGAACACTGGTATCTACCATTTTTTGGAATGTACCACCCACAAATACCAGGTCAGATAAGAGTAGTCTTTGATGCCAGATGCGCAGTTCCAAGGCATATCTTTGAACAAAGTCCTTCTCACAGGGCCAGATCTCACCAATGGTCTACTTGGCATGCTCATTCGCTTCAGAAAGGAAGCTATGGTGGTCTTGGCTGACATCCAACAGATGTTTTACTCATTCTACCTCAGGGAAGATCATCGCAATTACCTGCGCTTCCTGTAGTTTAGCAATGAACAGCACAGCCAGCAAATAACAGAGTACAGAATGCGAGTGCATGTTTTGGGAATGGCTCTTCCCCTGCAACCGCTAACTACAGCCTGCAACACATCGCCCATATAGGCGAAGCCAAATACGGTGCAGATGCCAGACGCTTCGTAGAATGGGATTTCTGTGTTGACGATGGCCTAAAATCTGTACCCACTCCAGCAGAAGCCATAGATCTATTGAAAAGTACACGCCAGATGTTAGCGGCAGCCAATCTTAGGCTACACAAAATCGCATTCAACAGTGAAGAAGCATTCAATCCTGAAGACCATGCTAAAGGTCTACAGGACATCGATTTTGGCACAGATGACCCTCTCATCCAATGGAGTCTCGGTCTATGTTGGGACTTAAAGAAAGATGTCTTCACCTTTAGAGTTCCAGCACAGAACACCGTCTTCACAAGAAGAGGAGTTTTGTCTATAGTAAACAGCCTGTTCGACCCTCTAGGATTTGCTGCACCTGTAACTGTCCAAGGAAGGCTCCTTCTGCGCGCACTCTCCCAAGGCACCACAGACTGGGACGGCCTGCTTCCGCCAGAACAGAAGCATGACTGGGAGACATGGCATAGATCTCTAAATTTTCTCCAAAGTATCCACATACAGCGCACATATGTTTCCATTTCACTTGCCGCCGCAACGAAGAAAGAATTGCATGTGTTCTCAGATGCTTCAACAAAGGCAATACCAGCTGTAGGATACATCAGAGTCTATGGTGGGGAGAGCTACAACATCAGTTTCATTATGGGAAAGGCAAAACTGGCACCACAACAAGGTCACACCATACCCAGATTAGAGCTCCGTGGTGCTGTTCTGGCTGTAGAATTCGCAGACATAATATCGAAAATGATAGACCTTGAGCTGCAATCCACCACCTTCCACATGGACAGCAAGGTGGTATTGGGCTACATCCATAACCAAAGCAGACGTTTCTATGTCTATGTGAGAATAGAGTGGAAAGAATCAGAAGATCTTCAAATCCTGAGCAATGGCGATATGTGCCAACAGATCAGAATCCAGCAGTTTCTACGTGATCCATTCCTGAATCACAGTTGGCAGAATCAATCTGGTTAAAGGGTCCTGAATTCTTGGTTCATCTAAACAGCCAGATAACATAGACACCAAAACATCACGAGCTTCTAGAACCAGACCAAGACGATGACGTTCGACCTCAGGTATCCAACAAATCACTCAGACAGGGTGAGAAAATGACCGTCCAGATTGTCTGCTTGTCTACAAACATCAAGGAGACAGAGAAACCATCTCCCAATCACTTCCTAGAACTGACTCACTTTGAATGCTTCTCCAGATGGAGACCTCTCATAGTGGGCATAGCAGTGATCGTTCATTTCCTGCATCACGAGATGAGCTTCCCAGACAGTTATCTCCAAACCAAGAAAGGGATGCTTCAAAGTGTGCAGCAAGACACATACCTAATGGAATTTGAATGTCTGGAAGCTAAAAAGGCTATCCCAAAGTCTAGTGCATTGCTGAAACTGAACCCGTTCCTGGATAGTCATAATTTACGTTGAGTAGGAGGGCGTCTAGATAAGGCTGAAATAGCGTCAGACATCAAGCACCCTATCATCCTTCCTGCCTGTCAATATGTCATGTACCTGCTGGTCCAACACTACCATGAAACCGTCCACCATCAAGGCAGACACTTCACAGAAGGTGCCATCAAAGCGGCTGGACTCTGGATCATGGGGGCCAAAAGATGCATCGTCACAATTTTGTACAGGTGCCTGCATTGGCGCAAATGAGGTGTGACACAACACCAGTTGATGGCTGACCTGCCACCCGAGTGCCTTAGTCCATCGCCGCCATTTACCAACGTAGGCCTAGATGTATTTGGACCTTGGTCCATGTCTGTTCATCAGACCAGAGGTGGCCAAGCCAACAGCAAACATTGGGCCGTTCTTTTCACATGTCTTAGCATTCGAGCTGTCCACATTGAAGTCATCAAATCTATGAACACCTCTTGTTTCATTAATGCTCTAAGAAGGTTTCAGGCCTACAGAGGCCCAATTAAAGTGTTTAGATCTGACCGTGGAACTAACTTTATAGGAGCAATATTGTGTCTACCTCATAATTGCATTGTTCGATGTTATGCCTTTGTTTATCTCAGTTATAGTTATGCATGTTTTGTATTTACCTCATAATTGCATTGTTTGATGCCATGTTTTTGCCTAATCTAGTTAACAGTCAGTTAATAGTAAAAATTGCATTGCTTGATGCTATTTTTTTTTTTTTTTGCTTATTCTAGTTAGTTAATAGTGGAAATTGTGTATTTCCAAGCGGGGAGTATGTAGTTTGGGAAATGTAGTTTAGTTGTTGCATGGTTATATCTGTGTTCTAATTGATCAGTTCTATGTCTTAATTAGCCATTTGGAGGGACACCAATATTTATGCCAGGATTTCCTGGCTACAGGCCAGTATGAAGAATTTGTGTAGTAGAGCCATGACTTCCTTTGCTTTGCTCCATATGAACATGGGGTGAATTTAATTTTTTACACCACAAGAACGGACAGATTGTGAAACGTGACTTAGAAGAACTCATTAACTGTGAGTTATTGTTTAGAGATTCCTGAAGAATAAATAATCTGAATATTAATCCATCTTTGGAGTTAATCTGTCTGTCAAGCAGGAATAAAGCAAATCTCTTTTTGGAACAGAACACAGACCAAGCCAACAAAGCACACCTGGAAAAAGCTTTCCTGGGTAAGTACTTCATAAGTGGGAGTGGTGCAGAAGAATAGTTGCATGCAATGGGTATAGCCTTCAAAATATTTTTAGAATAGAATAAAATAGAGCTGGAAGGGACCATGGAGGTCTTTTAGTCCAGCCCCCTGCTCAAGCAGAAGAACCTATGCCATGGATTGGCAACCTGAGGCTCTGGAGCTGCATGCGACTCTTTCAGCCTTCTGCTGCAGCTCCCAGTCATCCTTTACCATTTGCAGTCCCCCCCCAAAAGTGGGAGTTCAATCAATCAATTCCAACTTCTCATGAAAAAAAAAAGATCTCGCAAATTTAGAATTGTTTGATTGAACTTCTTTTGTTTGTAAGACTGCCCACAAACTTCTTTTCTTTTTGGGACTGCACGTGGTGGCTGGAAAGAAGGTGCGTGGGTCAGATGGGGCGTGTGGGGAGAATCTGCCAAGAATCATATGGAGCTGGCTGGGGAAACGGACTGGGTATGGGGAGCTGCCAATGCCATTGCCATGATCCCCCCTCCCCAGCCACCCAGCCACAATGCCACCATGGCCGATATTCTCACTTGGCCTCACGCTCTTCTTCTCCTTGTCTTCCACACTCTCCGACATAGAGTTGGATGAAGCTTCTTGAAAAGGAGGGACTACCGCACCCGAGTAACTGATTGAAGGAGCAGTCCGGGTAGGAAGGGGGTGGCTGGAATTGAGCCCAGAGCGCCTTTACCTTGCATCAGCCTTATCAAATGGGAAGGTGCCTCCACCGCTGCTTCTGGCCGCCTTCCTCGTGCTCCAGGGCATGAATGAGGCAGGCGCCTCGTGCTGGCAGGATGGTCCTCACTGGCTGTAGGGAGAGCAGCCGGCCTCAGACGCTCCCCAGACTGGCTCCCAGCCTTGCTTTATGTCTGATGCTTTCCGTATTGAGCTCCCACTGCTGCCCTCCAGCCCCACCTTCCCTCTGCTCCTTTGCTTGTCTTCCTGCTGCTTCTGGAGGGCTGTGGAAATTGCTATCCCGCTTCGGTTTCTGCTCCAGGGTGGCCCCCTCCCCTCCCTGTCCTCGAAGATTCCTACCTGTGGCAGGCGGCACCCAAGGGAACTGGGGCCCTGGACAGAAACTACCCGCTTCATGATGGTTTCTCTGCTAGTCCACGGCCAAAGTCCAATCCAGCAGCCTCTTCTGGGCGAAGAGCCGCAGCTCCGGCTCTCTCTCCTCTCCTTTCCCCACTGCCCGCCAGCACCGCTTGCTCTGGGCCTGGCTGCACCTCTGGGCAGCCCACCGCCCTGGCCGATTCCCACTGCCCTGGCACATGCTTCTTGGCCTGCGGGCCCTTCTTCTTTGCTTTTGTCTGCTTGCCTGGGCTCAAGCCTGCCGGGGTGCTGGATTGCTCCCCGCGGCCTTCCGCCTCTTTGGGCCTCAGCCGCAGCCTGCTTTCTGCTGCTGGGTTGCGCGCCTTGTGCGAACGCCAGAGCCGCCTTGCCTGAGATGACCGTCAGTCCATTGAGCTCCGAGAGGCCTCGTGATCTGCCAGCCAGCGGGCAAGGCGGCTTTGGCATTCACACCACAAGGTACACAACCCAGTGGCAGAAAGCCTACCGGAGGGCTTTGCATGATCACCAGATGGAGGGGGTTCCCTTGACTCTCCCGTGGGAGAGCCCAGCCGCTCAGGGATCCTTGCCCCCATTGTCGGAGTGGCCAGAGCCGCAGGGCATGAGCCTGAGCGAGCTGTCCTCTGTGCCGCTTGAGAACTCCCCTCCCACCTTCTCCTCACTCTCGCCGTCTCCGCTGTCCTGGAAGGCGCCCTCCGATGGGCTGTCCGGGCGAGCAGACGAAAGCCAAGAAGAAGGGCCTGCCAGCCAAGAAGGGCGCGCCAGGTCAGTGGGAGTCAGCCAGGTCAGTTGGTCGCCCGGAGGTGCAGCTGGGCCCAGGGCAAGTGTGCTGGTTGGCAGTGGGGGAGGGAGGGGAGAGAGAGCCGGAGCTGTGGCTCTTTGCCCAGAGATGCTGCTTCCTTTTGGCCACCAGACTGGTCTTTGGCCGTGGACTAGCAGAGAAGCCATCATGATGGGTGGTTTCTGTCCAGGGCCCCAGTCCCCTCAGGGACAGGGAGAGGAGGGGGCCGCCCCAGGGCAGAGGCCGAAGTGGGGTAGCAGTTTCCACAGCCCCCCAGAAGCAGCAGGCAGGCAGAGAAAGGAGCAGAGGGAAGATGGGGCTGGAGGGCAGCAGCGGGAGCTCAACACTGAAGGCATCGGACATAAAGCAAGGCTGGGAGCCAGGCTGGGGAGCGTCTGAGGCCAGCTGCTCTCCCCACAGCCGGTGAGGACCATCGTGCCAGCATGAGGCGCCCACCTCATTCACGCCCTGGAGTGCAAGAAAAGCAGCCAGTAGTGGCGGCGGAGGCGCCTTCCCATTTGATAAGGCTGATGCAAGGTAAAGGCGCTCTGGGCTCAATTTCGGCCACTCCCTTCCAACCTGGACCGCTCCAATCGGTTACTCGGGTGTGGTAGCCCCCTCCTCTTTGAGAAGCCCCACCCAACTCTACGCAGGGGATTCTGGCAAAAGGGGGGTGCAATAAGGAGTGCGAGGGAGAAGTGAATGGGCTACAGCAGGAGTGGTGGGGGCTATTCATTTGGCAGTGTCATTTGGCAGAGAGAGAGCATGTGAACTGCAGCAGAGGCTAGTGGGAAGGGGAGGGAGTGAGGGAGGGAGGGAAGGGAGAGCATGTGAACTGCAGCAGAGATTGGTGGGAAGGGGAGGGAGAGAGGGAGGGAGGGAGAAAGGGAGAGAGAGGGAGGGGGAGAGAGAGAGAGCAGTTCATTGATTTCATAATTGCAACACACTATAGTTTTTTTATACATAGCATAAAGGTAAAAAACGATATATGCACTGTTATCTTCATTTTAGATGTCAAAATGTTTTTGTGGCTTCCAGTGTTTTCTTTTCTGTGGGAAACGGGTCCAAGTGGCTCTTTGAATGTTTAAGGTTGCCGACCCCTGACCTATACCATTTCAGGCGTGGCTGTCTAATCTCTTCTTAAAAATCTCCACGATTTCTGAAGGCAATCTGTTCCACTGGTTAATTGTTCTCACTGTTAGGAAGTGTTTCCTTAATTCTAGGTTGCTTCTCTTTGATCAGTTTCCAATCATTGTTTCTTGTCCTGCCTTCTGGTGCTTTGGAGAATAATTTGACCCTCTTCTTTGTGGCAGTCCCTTAAATACTGGAATACTGCTATCATGTCACCCCTATTTGTTCTTTTCTTTAGACTAGCCCACAGGTCGGCAACTTGCAGCTCCCAGCCTCCTCTGCCATTTTGCAGAGACAGAGACAGAGACAGAGACAGAGAGAGGCACTGCTGCTGGATTGGACTTTGGCCGTGGACTAGCAGAGACAGAGACAGGCACCCTTCTCTCTCTCTCTCTCTCTCTCTCTCTCTCTCCCTCTCTCTCTCTCTCTCTCTCTCTCTCTCTCTCTCTCTCTCTCTCTCTCTGTGTGTGTGTGTGTAAAAAAAAGAGAGTGGACTCGGTGTTCTCCAAGAGCTGAAAAGCTTACTGGGCAGAGCTCCTCCTTGTGTTGCGTCTCTGCAGGAAGCAGGAAGGGCAGGAGAGAGCTAGCTAGCCCAGCTATGCTGACTCAGGAATTCTGGGAGTTGAAGTCCATGAATCATAAAAGAGCCAAGGATGCCTACAAGGTTGCTTGTTGGAGAACAGCTTGAAGCCAGCTTGCTAGGTGAGCAGCAGATAGGAGAGAGGGAGAGAGGGGGAAAGAGAAAGAGAGAGAGAGAGAGAGAGAGAGAGGGAGAGGGAGAGAGAGAGAGAGAGAGAGGAAAGAAAGAGAGAGAAAGAAAGAGAGTGGGGGAAGAGGACTGGCAGACCAAGGGCAGATAGAGAGAGAGGGAGGGAGAGAGAGAGAAAGAGACCCTTTTGACATCTAAAATGAAGATAACACTGGATATATCCTTTTTTACCTGTGTGTGTGTATGTATATGTATATGTGTATGTATGTATGTATGTGTGTGTGTGTGTGTGTGTATATATATATATATATATATATATATATATATACATACATACATACATACACACAAACACAGACAGACAGACAGACAGACACACACACACACACACACCTATAATAAAGGTAAAAAAGGATATATCCAGTGTTATCTTCATTTTAGACATCAAAAAGGTTTTGCGGCTCCCGGTGTTTTGTTTTCGGTGGGAAACGGGTCCAAGTGGCTCTTTGAGTGTTTTGGGTTGCCTACTCCTGGACTAGCCAAACCCAAGTCCTGCAGCTGTTCTTCACATGTTTTAGTCTCCTGGCCTTTGATCATCTTAGTTGCACTTCTCTGAATTTTTTCCAAAGTTTCAACATCTTTTTTGTAATATGGTGACCAAAATTGGTTGTTGTATTCCAGGTCTGGTCTTACTAGGGTTTTATAAAGTGATACTAACATTTCGCATGATCTTGATTCTATGCTTCTGTTTATCTAGGACTACAATCAGAAAAGCAATCCAGTCATGAGGTGATCTGAAGATAAACATGACAAAACTATTCCTGCACAAATGCCAAGGGCCCCCAAACTCATTGCTCCTTTGTCAAGTCCATTGTAATAGTCCATCCTAGGGGTTGTTGGTCAGCATGATTACTTGATCTCAGAGGAAGTGTAGTTGCTAAATTTCTGTTTTGTGCCAAAAAGTATTTTGTCCTTTTCTGGACAAACCATGAGGAGGAAACAGTCCTAATCTATGAATGTGCTTCTTTTAGCCTCATCCTGAACACCATTATAATGATCCAGTCAATCATTTTAGGTTAATAGAAAATTAAAGGTAAAACACTCTACAATAGGTCACATCAGGTTTATTGTTGTATAAACATATAACATAAATATGAAGGAGTAAATCTTAGTTCTCCAGACTTTCTACTCTTTCTACTCTCATCCAAATAAAGCTACTGTCAAAAAAAGTCCCCAATTCTTAATTTAAACAGCTTAGAAGAAAATACCATCACTGATGGCTTTAAAAGCTGTGTTTCACAGGGATTCCCTCTTCTAGAATAGGTCATCTTTCAAGGCCTCCAAGCTAATTTCAGGCCTAAAACTCATCTTGAAAGGTACTTGAAATGGCAAGAGAATGGCAGTGGTTTGCAATCATATAAAAGGCTTCTTTAGGCAGTACAGGCCTGTTTATACTGAGAATAAGAAAAAAATGGTGCTATTTATGAGCCAATTTCCAACACCTGTAAATTGCAGATAGGATTTTTTTTAAAATATGGGAATTCATATATATAAAAACATCAAATAGGTGGATCTTATTGTCAGGTCTTACTGTCAAGGTCACCCTTGCCAAGAGCAAGGTTGTTACAATAATTGGACTCAATTTGAAACACCTGCAGCATCAACACTGACCAAGTCACCATTACTCAGTTGCAAAAGAGCTGGGAAGAGCTTTCATCCTGCAATGATATTTAATACCATGAAACAATTACATCTGATTTCCTTGTCCTTGGAAAGGACTTGATAGTTGGAGGAAAATGCCAAATCCAATCTAAACATCTGGCTGACTGTATAACCAACTATAATAATAATGATAATGCATGATGTATCAATTTCCTAATCCTAATAGCATGCACATTCTTGCACCATACTCCAAAGAATCAAACACTAAGACTAGGACACCTCTGAGATGTCATTCTTACAGTCTCCTTTTCTCTTGCAATAGCATTTTGACTACAGTCTAGTCTCCACTGGTATTTGTATACCTGATATATATATAACTTTCGTCCAGGTATTGCATTGCACTAATGTCTGGAGCATTTCCAAATAAATTTCTCACTGAGTCTAGGAGCAGAGCATATGAAGAGATGATTTGAAAAAACCTAGATGGGTTAGGAGTGAATGTTGAATCTATTTTTCTTTCTCCATATTTCTGATCGTGTGGATGAACCCGTTTCTTCACTGGCCAATGGAAGAAATGGATTTAGGCTGCTGGGACATCCCCTGTAATTAAATGATGTAAAGGAAAGATGCTAGCATTTCTATTAGGCTTTGTCTTCTAATACATCTCATCCCACCCTGAAGCATTCACAGCAGTTATTTTAACACATGCTAATACCCTTAGTTATAATTTAATGCTCTGGCCACAAAAATATAGACCAAAAGATGGCCCTATGAACAGAAGAGCAGGATGCCTATTTATTGTGTCAAGACTGAGGCATTTGTATAACTGAGTCAATTGCTGAAGAAATTCACCTTGAAGTCAATATTAGCATATTAAGTTCAACTTTAGGATTGTAAAATCCCATATTATCTTGTTAGAAACAAGTAAAAAAGCTAGGTAAACAACAAGAACAGGAAGCACAAAACTGATTATCTATTATTCATATGTGCCTTAAGACTTTGTTGGCCAGGCAATGAATATTAGTGGGAGGATTTACTCTATAACTTTAGAGCAGCGGTTCTCAACCTGTGGGTCGGGACCCCATTTGGGGTCGAACGACCATTTCACAGGGGTCGCCAAACAACGCAGTCCGCCATTTTTTCCCCCTTTTCCTTAGCTGTGCTACTCCCTTTTATTCTATTGGCTTTTGAAAGCCAATAGAATAGACTCTCTTGAATAGAGTCTAATTCTATTGGCTTTCAAAAGCCAATAGGAATTGTCCAGGCTGTCTCTGCCCTGCTGAGCCTGCCAAAAGTCCCATTCTGCAAACGGTGCTGCAAGTTGTCTGCAGCGAAGGCGAGCTGTCTGGAAGTTTCCACCCCTCCCTGCTGAGCAACTACTAAAAATGTAAGTAAAAGAGGGCCAGGGGTGGGAGGTGGGAGGCCGGCAGGCACAGGGAGGGTTGCTGGCGTGCGTGGGGCCCGGCAGGTGCCTTACCTCCCTTGGGCTGGCCAGCTGGTGGCCCAGCCAGTGGTCGACCTGCGCCGTCTCTGCCGCTTGCCAGCTATGCCTCGGCCGGCGCAGGGGGCAGCACCACGCATGCGTGGTGCTCCCGGGCAGGGAAAGTCCTTGACTTACGACCGGTTGGATAGTCCTCGACTTACGACCGGTTGGGGGTCGCGGCATTAAAAAGGTTGAGAACCACTGCTTTAGAGGCTCTCTCTTCCTGGACCAGGAAACTAATAGCTTTCCTTCTCTCTATCCTCAGTCTTGGAATAACAGCATCTTATGAAGGAGAGATGAAAGTGAACATACCTCCAGGTTGATTCTTGCTTTCTTCAGCACTTTGTATGTTCCAGTCACTGTAGCAAAGAAAGTGTCAATCATAATTTGAATTAGCTTCTTTGTCCCCAACTTATCTCTGTGTTAATTGCCTATCTTGGCAAATCCTTGTGAAATGTTCTTTTCTGATATATTGACTTAGCAAGTGAAGAGGAATAATTTTGTCTCCAAAAAACTTAGCCATTGTCATTTTGGAAAGAGGGTTTCGTAAGGATTCTTTAGCCTTTTTTTCTAATTTATAACTGTAACTTTCATTAGCAAATTTAACTTTCTTCCTTTTCATTAAGGAACACATTGAGACAGGTATCTGTAGTTCAGTGACATATGGAAAAGATTTTCAAAGCTTGTTGGGCATTTGACAGTAGAAAATTCTAAAAGGACATCACTCCTTCTAACACAAAATTCCCATGATCCTGCAGGAGTAACTACTGTAAACTTGCAAGATAAATATGTCACATCTCCCCCTCTTCTACAGATTCCTTGCCTCAAACTCCATCAAGAATGGATTGAGATGAATAAAAATATACTTTTTCTTGAGGGATGGGATTTATTATATGGATGGCACGCATATTTAATTTATAATAAAAAAGTAGATCAGGTTTTTAAATCTCATATTTTAAGAAACGCTTTATTACGTGTCTGGAAGAAGTATTATTATAGGTTAAATTATAAAATTCCAGTTTGGGAGATTCCTGGACACGTGATAGAGGGGGTATCTAGGGGAGTGAATTTGGATAGGATTTCTTATAAGGAATTACTTAGTTTGGTAGGGAAGGATTGGCAATTAAAATCTTTAGGTGAGTTGAAGAAAGAAAATATTGTACACTCTTGGTTTCAGTATAATCAATTGTTAGTTAGGTGGAGTTTAGATCAAAAGGTTGGTATTACCTTAGAGGATGTGAATTTGATAAAACAGATTAAAGATCAAACTCAAGCCCACATAAAGAGAATTTATAATGTTTTAATAGAATTGGATTCTGAAACGGAGTTAGTTAAAGATTGTATGGTAGAATGGGCACAAAATATTCAAGAGCCGATTCTATTGGACACATGGGAGACAATTTAGAAATGTAAAATTTACTCAAGCTCAAAATTTGAAAGAAAATTTTTATAAAATATTTTATAAGTGACATTTGGCTCCCCAAAAGTTGTCTTGTATGTATCCTAACTTGCAGCCCAAATGTTGGAGATGTGGTTGTTTGGACGCAACTTACTTTATATTTGGTGGACTTGTAGACATATAAAAGCTTTTTGGATTAAAATTTGGTAGAACATTCAAAATATTTTCAAAAGAAAGATAAAGTTTACTCCTCAACTATTTTTGTTAGGTATTATTATAGATTTTGATGTTAAGGAAATTAATTTGATGTTGAATTTAATAACAGCAGCAAGGCTGTTGGTAGGGCAATATTGGAAGAAAGATTCCTTGCTGACTATAGAAGAATGGACCCTTAAGGTCTCAAATTTAGCAGAAATGGCAAAAATCTCAGCTTATTTGAAGGATCATTCACAAGAGAGATATATTTCGGTTTGGAGAAGGTGGATAGACTATATTCAGAATAAATATGGGACTAAAAAGTTCCATTTATTTTATGAATAAATTTTAGAATATTATTATTATTATTAATAGTTTATTATAGTGAAATTTTTATTATATCGTATTGTTTATGAATTAGTTTTAATTTGTTTATATGATTAAGTTTATTTGCAAATTGTTTATTTTGTGTTAAAGGGGAGTTAAAGCGCATTATATTTGTTTATCTATATAGTTGGTTAATGTTAGTTAGATTATGATTATTATATTTGTTACCCTGTATTCAGCTCTAGGAAGTGGGGGAGGGAGAGGGGAGGGGGGTAGGGTGAGTGGGTTTGGGGGTATATTTTGTAATTTTTGTAAAACTTTTTAATAATAATAAAAAAAGAATGGATTGAGATGTAGAGAATAAAATGTAGTGGGGAGAGACTGTGACACACAGACAGACTCATTAATGCTCTAGAGTTATGCTCATGGGATGCTTGACTACCAGAAACAGAAACGTGGTCCTATCCAATCCATTCCATGAAACAGGACACTTACAGTGAGTGAGAATGAAGTTCTCCACACTTCCTTTGATATGGTTAGCACTCTGCACATGATCCTCTTGCTCAGCCAATTTGGCTCTGAGTATTTGGATTTCTTCAGCTACTGTCTGATCCTGTGAAAACAAGTATTTTATTTCTTAGGATGACTATAATAAATACATATTATTTAAAAAAGGAAGCTTATAGTTTATCAAGTAACCTAGAGGTGTAGAGTGCTGTGGAAGATTAGACGGACTGAACATTTTGTATGTGAAGCGAATGTATTTTAAAATTCTTCCCAGTCTTCTAAAGTATTGTATTTGGAAGCTATGTAGAAGTCACTGAGCCAATGTAAAAGTATATTTATGGGGGTAATGGGAAATTAAGGATGAGCATATCTAGAGCCAAATTTATAGAGCTATCTATTCTCTGTTCTTTTAGCTCCCTATTTTAATTTCTCAGTTTTGTGATTGCCAAGCTATATCTCTAGATGCTAGTCCCACTGGTATTTGCAGCTCCATCTATATCCCCATTTTAACGTATTCTTGTCTTACTGTTGACATCTGTACCCCCCCCTTTCTTATTTCCTCATCCATCTATCTGCCACACTACTCCCTGTTTTTGTTACAGAATTTGTCAACAATAGCACAGAAGGGCTTCCCAGCCCCAGCAATTCTAAACTGTTCAGAATGATCACCAGAAATTCTAGATGGAGCAATGTGGAATGTCTGGTCGACTGCAATGGATTGGGCAAATAGGGCCATCTCTGCCACACATTGAAGAATAGGGGAAGTGGTATCAACTTAACAATGTTGCTTTCTTGTTGCTTTCTTTATATTCCCCTAATAATTCTCCCCCTAATATTCCCTTAATAATTCACCCTAATAAACTTTATGATGCAAATAAGAGGCACTTGGAAATCATCCTGAGTTGTCTAAAAGGCTAAAGAGAGTTCCAAGCAAAAGAGGGAAGGGAAGATAAAACATCTTGAAGAGTATAGAGGTGAGGAGGCATGTTCTTATCAAAGGACACAACTCTAGGATTAGTACTTAGGTCACAGGCTGGAAAAATGGTTGGCTTCCAAACACCCTAACATGATTTGGGGGGAATTTTGCAATATACTGGCATAGAGAGAAAACCCAATCAACACTATTTAAACTGGACTGGAAAAGGTTTTTAGAATTCTACAATGTTGAGATGGATTTTCAGCTATTATTTACCCAGGCCAATCAAACTGTCACCTCAAATTTTCCAGTGGGGAGAAACTGCTCTACAGTAATAGCAAGATACTTCCCTTTGTGGGTTGCTTTATTTGAGCTGAGCTGAGAGGCATGGGAGATGATGCTCTCCAAAACATTGCAAGGAGGGAAGTGGAATTCTCCAGGATCTGATGCAAAGTGCTGGTATGGACGAGTAATTTCCTAGTGTTTTCTTGGCAGAAAATCTGTGGAAATAGAGAGGTTGGTTAATGCAAATATCTTATATTTTCCTCACTCTTTGGTAGCCTTTGATGTTCTCTTCCTCCCTCTGGCAAAGGAACATAGTTTTCTCATCTCTCTTGCAACACCTCACATCTCCATGAAGTACCTTTTCATAAATGTTCTGTATCACTCTTGGGTTAGAAGCTTACCATCCCTAGCTTGAAAAAGTTCAGCAGTGCACCATTCCCAATAATATGGAGGTGGATTATAAATTATCACTTATCCAGGACGTTCAGAATATTGGTCAAAATTGTTTCCAGTGGTGAAAGATGGAACCCTTAAGGAATTTAAATCTCAATGAAAGTACTCTGTCCTCAGTTACCATGTTGTCCTGTAGTTTCAGGTCAGACTGCAGAAGTGATGCCATTTGGTGGATTCGAGTCTTGGCATCCAAAATCTGTTTCTTAAGAGTATTATAGTCCTGAAGGTATCCTATGACATGAATTCCTTGCTTTTTGTCATCTTCTGTCAGCAGCAATTTATGCTCCCCTACAAAGAAAGAACCACACTGTCAGCCTAAGTTGGAAGTTGTAAGGACCCACTTCAATCCCACATCTTAAGAAAGCAGAATTCTTGGAGACGATTTCCTCCAACAGGAACCTTTATTAAAAGTAGTTGATAGCAGGCATAATAGACAGGATCTGAGGGATTCCTTTGCAGATTAATTCTTTAAAGTGTCCCCAAGCAAACCCCACCCCACAGTTCATCTGGACGGTTCAAATCAGCCAATGCCCAGGTGTTCAGTCCATCGTGGGAAAGGGGAGATAACATCGGTCCGGCTCCGGTTGTAGCATGCTGTTCAAGCACTCTTCGCACCTCCTTTTGAGAACAGAGAAATAAGCCAGTCTCCAGAGGTTGTATTTCTTCCCTTCCCCCCTTTCCCTAGCTGACAGGTTAGGGAGAAGAAAGTTAAGAGAGAGATACACTGCAGGAAGCAAATTGTTACATTGTAGCAGGCAGCAGACACAGAAGCAATAAATAAAGCAAAAGGTTATATTGTAGCAAATAGAGGAAGGGAAAGCAATAACCCCACAGGCACATCCCCCTCCCCCTTGGGAGTATGGCAGAACCCAGGGGAAGGTGAGATTTGTTTTTAGGTCAGAGGGGATAGGTAGAAATGAAATAGGAATGAGTTCTGACATCCTGCCCCCCTCAAAAATAAGAGAGATCCACCTGTAGAGAAAACAAGTATAGAGGTTAGTCTGGTTTGTTGGGATATTCTGTATGAAACCTCTTTAGCAGTTTAGGTACTTTGATGTGACGTTTATGGACCCATTCGTTTTGTGAGGAAGGAAGGTATTTCCATGCTACTAGGTATTGAGTTGCCCCGTGATACTTCCTAGAATCTAGGATTTCTTTTATCTCAAAGTGTTGTTCTCCTTCAACCATGATTGGAGGTGGTGGTGGGGATTTTTAGTCGTAAGGGCAACTGTTCTCGTTTCAGCAAGCTGCAGTGAAAAATTGGGTGCATTTGCTTGAGGTTTTGGGGTAGTTCTAATTTTACTGTTACTGGGTTTATGATTCTTTTAATTGGAAAAGGTCGTATATATTTTGGCCCCAGTTTTGTACAGGGTTGTAGGGATTTTAGGTATTTTGTAGACAAATATATCATTTCTCCTACAGTGAATAGTATAGGTTGGACTCTTTTTAAAATCCTCTTGTGCTTTGTATGCTTGTCTAGCTTCGTCTAATCAGGTGTTTTGTAATTGTGATATCCATTCTTTCAGCGATGGGATTGCTGGTTCGTTTGGAGTCAGTTCTGGCATAAGGTTAAAACTTTGATCGATGGCTACTTGAAAAGGAGTGTAGCCTGTGCTGGAGTGGACTGTGTTATTGTAAGCAACTTCTGTGAAAGGGAGTAGGTCCATCCAATTCGTTTGCTGGAAATTAATAAAGCACCTTAAGTATTGCTCAAGTACTGAGTTCGAACGTTCCGTTTGTCCATTGCATTGAGGATGATGACTAGATGACAGTCCCTGAGTGGTTCCTAAGAGGGATAAAAATTCCTTCCAAAGTTCTGATGTAAATTGCACTCCCCTATCAGATACGATGCATTGGGGTGCCCCAGGCAGTCTGTAGATGTGCTACAGAAATAGTTTTGCTAAGGTTTTTATGGTGGGAATCTTTTGGCAAGGGATAAAGTGCACTTGTTTGGAAAACAGGTCTGTAACCACCCAGATGACAGTGTTTCCATTGCTTTCTGGTAATTCCACTATAAAATCCATGGATATTTCTTTCCAGGGGGCTGAGGGATTCGCCACTGGTTGCAACAGTCCAGGCGATTTCCCTTGCAACCTCTTAAGCACTTGCGCAATAACTTTCTATGTCCTTTTTCATGGACGGCCACTAACATTGCATTTTAATTAAATGTAATGTTTTTATAAATCCAAAATGCCCTGCTGATTTTGTATCATGGCATAGCTGCATGAAAGTGACCCTCTGGGTGGTTGGTATATATAACTTTTCCCCCACCCATGGCAGTCTGTCCTTGATCGTGCACATGTGTCTATTTTTCTGGAACCATTCATCTGTTTCCAAAGTTTTCTGGAAATCGATTCCGATTTGGCTACCTAGCTGCGGCTTTATTTTAGCTTGGGCTGTGGTGGTTACTGGCACTGCCAGTTGTGGTTCAGGCATGAGTGATTTAGAACCGGTAGCTCATGTGCTGTTATATTGGGGCATGCGAGACAGTGCATCTGCCAGGAAGTTTTTTCCCCCTGGCAAGTGTTTGAGCTTAAAATGGAATTCGTGAAAATGCTGGGACCAGTGGGCTTGCTTGGGAGTGAGCTTCCTGGGTGTTTTTAAGGCTTCCAAGTTTTTGTGGTCCATCCAGACCTGAAAAGGGATTTTATTCCCTTCAAGGAAATGGCCCCACGTAAGTAATGACCATCTCACAGTATATGCCTCCTTTTCCCACACAGGCCAGCGCTGTTCCATTTCAGTGAGTTTCCTGGATGTGTATGCGCATGGTTGCAATATCCCTTCATTGTTTTCTTGTAATAGTACAGCCCCCATTGCTACATCGCTTGCGTCCGCCTGTATTACGAAAGGTTTATCCGTGTCTGGGTGCCTCGGTATGGGTTCGATGGAAAAGAGTCTCTTTAACCTCTTGAATGCTGCTTGGCATTCCATTGTCCATTTTAGTGGCTGGCTGGGTTTCACTGAGGATTCTCCCTTCATTTTTAGTAAGTTCATGAGGGGCAGGGCTATTTGGGCAAATGAAGGGATGAACTGGTGGTAAAGGTTTACGAAATCCAGGAAATTTTGCAACTGCTTCCTTGTGCAAGGTGGTGCCCATTCTACTACTGCCCTGACCTTCTTGGGGTCCATTTTGATGCCTGTGGAGATATACAATAACCTAGGTAGTCTATTCTTTCCTGGTAGAATTCGCATTTCGATAATTTGGCATATAGTTGGGCAGCTTGCAGTTTCTTTAAAACCTCTCTGACTAGGTTGACATGCTCGTCTTTGGATTTGGTGAAGGATGTTGTCTAGATAAACCAGGACCTCCTTAAATAGTTGCTCCCTTACTATCTCATTGATTAATTGCATAAATACTGTGGGGGCCCCTTTTAGTCCAAACGGCAAAACTTTAGAATTGGTAAATACCGTTGGGCAATTTAATGTGGTTTTCCATTCATCCCCTTCGTTAATGCTAACATGCTAATACGCTTCCCTTAGGTCTAGTTTAGTGAAAATTCTTTCTTTCGATAGGTGGGATAACATGTCCTTCATGAGGGGTAGGGGGTATAGGTTACTTTCACTGATTGCATTTAGGGTGCGGTAATCCATGCACAAGCGCAAAGTGCTGTCCTTCTTCCCTCTAAAGAGGACCGGGGTGGCTTCCTTAGGTTTGGCAGGTTCAATAAACCCCCTTTCTAGGTTTTTATTTATGAATCTTTCCATTTCCTCCTTCTCTTTAGGGGTCATAGAGTATAGTCTGGATTTTGACAGTTTTGCCCCGGGCTTGAATTCTATGGCACAATCTGTGGGTTGGTGAGGGTGAAGCTCATCCGCCCTCTCCTCATTGAAAACTTCAGCAAGGTCTTGGTATTCGTCCAGTATTTTGGGTAGACCCTTTTCCTCTCCCACCGATTCTTTCTCTGCTCCTGGGTTTGGTAGGGCTCCTTGGGAGTTTAAGTTTGTATAATCCCCCTTCGGGAAATTGAGTTCTGCCATCCTCCAATTTACACAGTGGTTCCATTTCTTTAGCTACTCCAGCCCTAGGATCACTGGGCATTCCATGGCTGGGGTCACTACAAACGTTATGTCTTCCTCGTGGTTCCCCAGGGATAGGTGGACTGGTAAAGTGGCTAAGGTAGCTGGCATCCTCCTTGCTATGGACCCATCTAACTGGTCAAATGAGATTGGTTGTTTCAGCCTTCTCACCGGGATGCCCAAGTTCCCCACTAGTGTCAGGTTAATGAGGCAGCGGGTGCAGCCAGAGTCTATTAAGGCTTTCACTTTGACAGCTTTGGGCATGAAGGGGGCTAATATAGTCACTGTCTTGAGGATGGGTGCAATGGGTCCACTTACCAGAGTTCGCCCTCCGAGCTGTCATCCGAGGTGTCCACCACTCCTACAGTGTAGGCAAGAGTTCCCTCCCCATGCTTGGCAGGGGGTGGGGACTCCACAGCCTCTGTTGCCCTCATGGCGGGTTATCAGGATTTCCCTGATTTCTTGGCCAGTGATCGGTCTGGGTTGCGCTGAGGGGCTTTCAAGTGGCATTCTACAGCACGATTTGAAACAGCCCATTGACTTCTTGACTGTAGCCGGTGGTTTCGCTGACTCACGCGTTGGCTCAGGAGGTGAACAGCCCCATGATTTTCCTCATTGGTGCCTCTTCAGTAGGTCAATCTCTGCTTCCTCTGCCAGGACGTACAATTCGTTGCGTCGGCGTGGGTCCCCACAAGGCAGGCAGGCATCATACAGGTTGTACTTTAGGCCATCTTTGAAATGGCTAAGGAGGATGTCTTCTGGCCAGTTTAGCTTGTTGGGGATGGCCCAGAATTTTTGTGTATATTCAGCTACCAGATATCTGCCCTGCCTCACTGTTTTGATTCTCTCGTGGGCTTTTTGATCAGCCGGGAGGTCCTTGAATCACCTTCTCAGGGAGGACATGAAGTGATTGAAGTTGTAGAGTTCTGGAGCATTGGAATCATGCAGGTTCACCATCCAGTCTGCAGCTGCCCCATCCAAAGCAGATTGCACGATATGGATACGGGCTTTGTTGCTGGGGATGTCTTGCCCATATTCTTCCATGTAGTAAGGACTTGGGTTAGGAAGAACCCCAAGCATTGTGACTCCCCCCTGAATTTCGTGTCCAGCGGCGGGAACCTTTGGATGGATCAGTGCCTTCGCCACCGCCGATGTTGTGTCTCATCCTGATCACCATCTGCAGGTTGGTGGGGCTGCTGAAACAGTAGCTGCTGTCTCCGCAGACATCCCTAGGGCTACAGTTTCTGATTCCCCCTCAATGTCTCTCTGGTTGTAGCCCAAGGTGTTGGTGCGGCCCCGGGATTCAGGGTTCTGCTCCACGAGAGAGCTGAGGGTTCTTTTTATCAGGTCAATAGCTTTCTCTAGGATCCAGTTCGAGTGCTGCACGTGACCTCCTTCCTCTTTGCTAAGGTGCAGGGATTTCTCCATCTCGTGCTTCTATCCAGGTTGGTGGCTGCCCCGCCTCAGGGTCACTTTCCTTGATACTTTTTCCCACTCGTCTTTCTTGCCAACGCCCATCAGCCACTGAGGTTTGTGATTGCACATTTCCACCTCTTCTTCTTCTGAGGAGTATGACGTCTCAGATCCCGACAACTGGCAGGGTCCCTGCCAGAGGGAGGGCTCCCCTTTCAGGATAGGTTCTTCCTTCCCTGCCCCATCGTCTGACATTGTAGTTTTTGCAAAGTCCCCTGGTAAAGGTCTTACTTCCAGGTTGACTATTACTGCAGATCCTGTCTAATATAAGGATCCACTTCAATCCCACATCTTAAGAAAGCAGAACTCTTGGAGATGGTTTCCTCCCACAGGAACTTTTATTAAAAATAGTTGATAGCAGGCATAATAGACAGGATCTGAGGGATTCCTTTGCAGATCGATACTTTAAAGTGTCCCCAAGCAAACCCCACCCCACAGTTCATCTGGATGGTTCAAACCGGCCAATCCCCAGGTGTTAAGTCCATCGTGGGAAAGGGGAGATAACATCGGTCCAGCTCTGGTCATAGCGCGTTGTTCAAGCAACTCTTCACACCTCCTTTTGAGAATGGAGAAATAAGCCAGGCTCCGGAGGTTGTATTTCTTTCTCCCCCAGTTTTCCTAGCTGACAGGTTAGGGAGAAAAAAGTTCAGAGAGAGATACAGTGCAGGAAGCAAATTGTTACATTGTAGCAGGCAGCAGACACAGAAGCAATAAATGAAGCAAAAGGTTACATTGTAGTGAATAGAGGAAGGGAAAGCAATAACTCTGCATGCACATCCCCCCTCCCCCTTGGGAATATAGCAGAACCCAGGGGAAGGTGAAATTTGCTTTTAGGTCAGAGGGAATAGGTAGAAATGAAATAGGAATGGGTTCTGACATAAGTTGCAGTTCTGGACTGCTCTGGCATCAGCAACTATAGTTCCTGCACAGTGACTCATTGCTGTTTCCTACAACCACAGAAAGAAAAAGAGAAGTATAGTATTTGTTCAGAAAGCTTCAGATGGACCTACTGCTTTCTGATATCTTAGAATATTTTAACTTAACATCCTGTAGTATACTAGCAAAGCTTGAGTGAGAAGGAGTAAGGACATACCAGAGACTGTCTTCTGCAGTGGTCCATGCTGTGCTTCATAGACACATAATTCAGGCTGCTGGGTCTGGAAGAGCACTCTGTTTTCTTCACACTGCTGCTGAAGCATTATCATTCTATGTTGAAGCCTGCAAAAATCCCCCCACCAGCAAACAAGAGTCATCTGTTGGCTGAAAGTCAGATGTCTCTGCAATGCTCATACTAATATTCTGCCAAAACCTGCTCACTGAAGATTTCATTGAAGTCTCACAGAAAGAGACTGCAATTCCTCACAAATAGAATCATCAGATTACAAGAGAATTTGGTGGTCTTCTTCCTGGGCAGGAATCCTCAAACTATCCCAGATAATTGGGACATTCTATTAAGCCTTGCAATAAATTCCTCAGATTTTACCATTTTTATTTATTTAATATATAAAATACAAAGAAAAATATAAATAGGAAATTAAGGGAAGGAAAAGGAGAGGGGAAAAGAAAGTGTGAGGTACAAGGGGGAAAAATGGCTTTGACTTCCGACTCTTTTTAACACAGTACAAGATAAAAACCTACAGCCTAAACTTTTTGTTTTTACACAATAAACAATTAGCCATTGTACAACGAAAAATCTATCTGATAGATAAACCAAAGTCATTTATTTTTTTCTGTCACAAGAACAATACCCAGAAGTGATACCCAAATGAAAAACATTCTCAAATATATTCTCCTCTTTGAATAAAATGATCAATTTAACTATTCCTGTTTTATCTTCCTTGCTATGGAAATAATGTGTATTTTTATTTGCACCTAATAATCTTTGTGAACTATCATTTTTATTAAAAATGATCACTATATTTTTTAAAACACTTTGATCTTACTGAGAAAATACTCTTTTTTTACCTTTTTTTAAATGCTAAAATTTCTCTAAACACTTTTCTAGAATCAAAACTTTCTAATGCATCTTTTTTTAACTTTCTTAATATACAGGCTTTGAACTGCAGTATTAAATTTAGATCCCACCCTCCAAACTACCCTTATAGAATATTTTTTATAAACATCCTTCGCAAATACATTTTCAATAACATTTTAAAATTTTGGATCAAGACTTTATTTCAATTACAAATGTCAAAGAAAAATTCATCCTAGATCCTCACTTCTTCCAGTTTGTCTTCATGGAGTAAAATCTTCTTCTTCTCTGGAAAGTTTATCAAGTAGTTATAAGCCCCCCCCCCCCTTTATCACAGATTTCACAACCTTGCTAATGTCCTTAAAGAAAAAGTCCCAAATTTATCTTTTTAAAACTTGCTGATTTTCTTGTTCTTCTTTCAATTGTATTGAAATATTTAAACCATCATAATAAAAGCACAAAATGCTTTTGATAACATAAACTAGCAATTTATGATTCAACAACTAAATGAAATGGATTTTGGAGAAAACTTTATAAATACAATTAAAACAATCTATCATAGACAAATAGCTAAAATAATAATTGTAAATGGATATTTTCAGAAAATTTTAACATTAAAAAAGGCACAAGACAAGGATGTGTCCATTATCCCCATTATTTATATTAACACTGGAAGTATTAAATAGAAATATAAAGCAAGACTCAGAAATTAAAGGAATGAAGATAAAAGATGAAAAATATAAACTACAAGCATTCGCAGATGACTTGGTTTTCATATTAGAAGAACCGCTTGTGACAAGCCCCAAACCTCTTAAAATTCTATCAAGAATTTGGAGAAGTGGCAGATTGAAAATAAATAGAGAAAAGACCAAAGTGATAACTAAAAATCTTACAGAAAAAAAACCCAACTGTCAGAAAAAACAGATCTCCAAATATTTAAGAAAACTAAATATTTGGGGATTTATTTAACAAGATGTGCAACAACAAAAGAAGACAACTAAGTAAAATTATTAAAACAAATAAAACTAGACTTGAAAAACTGGAAAAACCTACAATTGTTGTTAGGGAGAATAACAATGGCAAAGATGAATATCTTACCAAAATTACTCCTTATTTCAAACAATACCTATAAAATTGGGAAAAAAATATTGGATGAACTAAATATAGCTTGAAATTAATTTGCCAGGGAAAAAAAGCCAGAATTAGATTGAAAACGCTACAATAAGCTAAAGAAAATGGAGGATTTGGGCTGCCAGATTGTACCCTATACTATCAAGCATCTGCACTAACATGGATAAAAGAATGGATAACCATTAGACATAAAAGATTACTATACCTAGAAGGGCATGATCTGCAACTTGGATTTCATGCCTTCCTATGGTATGGGAAGAATAAAATTCATAGATACTTTCAAAACCACTATATAAGAAATGCACTTCTTTTAGAATGGAAATGGTAAAAGCAAAAAATTATATAAAAATACCTGGATGCCTTTCAACAATGGAAGTGTTTGTTCACCCAAACCTAATTAACTATGAGCAAATTGTGACTTATAAAGACATTTTGAATATTGAAGGAAAACTAAAATCTAGACAAGAACTAGAACAGGGTATTGATCTATCATGGAGGCCACACCTGCAAATTCAAATCAGATATGGAAGCGATGCTAAAACATCTGGATTCTATAAAGAACAGACAGACTATGAACAGATACTATTGCCATCAGATGCAAAATTGATTAAGAAACTGCATTAAGTACATGCTAAGTTTAAAGATGGAAGAAGAACAAGTTAAAGAAACAATGATAACATGGCCAAAAAACGTTGGGCATAACATAGAGCTAGAAAACTGGAAAAGACTGGGAAAGAAATTCTAAAATAACAAAGGCAGTGGCTTACAAAGAAATACAAAGTGTTTTACAGATGGCACTTACCACCTGTGAGGTTAGCAAAAATGTTTTAAAATATGTCCAGCAATTGTTGGAAATGTAGACAAAAACCAGGCACATATCATCTTTGGTGGACATACCCTAAGGCTAAAAGATTTTGGTCAGGAATACAAAAAAAATGTAGATTTTAAACCAGAATTATTTCTGTTAGGTATAATTGCAGGAAATTATGAAAGAATGTATATATTTAATGTTAAAATTAACAGCAGCAAGAATTATATTCGTTCAACATTGGAAATATGAATTACCAGTGGAAGAAGGAAAATTTTGGACTGTGCAGAAATGGACAGACTTACATTGAAAATGAAGGAGAAAGAAGGTTCAGAATGCTTTAGAACATAGGATACATTTTATCAATGGCTAGAAAAGCAAGGTAGAGAGAAAGGAGTTTAACATATATTAGTAAGCTAAATATTGGAACTCAGACAGCATGTTGCTGATAAAATATTAAGAATCTATAATTATAAAAAATTAATAAAATATGGTTATAAAAAAAGTAAAAAAAAGTTAATGTCTGGTTTGTATTCTAAATTTGCAATGAACTGCTCTGCATTTTCAGCTACTTGTGAACTTGTCTTGGTAGTTTAGTAACATTCTACACATGTTTGAAACTCTAAAGTAATTTGTTTTTTTAATCATCCTTGGCACACAGCTGGTCAACAAATTGGTAGATTTTTTTTAGAGACCTTTCAAATATATCTCTAATAATTTGCTCCTCCATCTTGACTTCTCTCTTTAATCAGGATCAGAAAATTGTAGTCACCCACAACAAAAAAGACCAAGCTACAAGTTACAATAATAAACTAAAATTATAGCTTTCAGTTTTTATGTTGTCAGCTTTCCCCCCCTCCTATTTCCTTATTTTGGCTTGCCTTAGCACCCTTCTTCCTTGTTATTTAACACTAAAGTAATCCCTAAAATGGTGAAGTCTTCAAAAATGCGTAGCAGGTCGTGACTAAAGAGAGCCTCTTTTAACAACTTTAAAAAGATCAATAGTCCTTGAAGTTGATTAAGAAATGAAAGGCACAACATTGTCTGTTTGAAAGGTAAATTTCGAAATGGCGGCTTCTTCATCCACAGATTACAACCCCTCCCTCTCCCCACCCCCTGCTTTTGAAGCCCAGCTCCTGAAGCCGCTTGCATTCTTTTAGCTGTATTCGAGGGTCTTGGGAAATTCTTAGACTCTTCCTGATCTAGGTGGGTCATAAAAACTGAAGGAATGCCAGTACCTTCAATTAGTAGCTGAAGAGCTATAGCTCAGGGGAAAACCCTTCAGGGATCCCTCCCTTAAGCATGTATTCAATCAGCCATCTTCACAGAAGTCCCCAAACCTTGAAATAAATTCCGAAAGGGGGATTGCAAACCTGATTCAAGTGATTCAAATCTGAATAATGTTATCAGCAGATTTCTTTTAACAGCAATGTGGACAGATTAGATAACATCAACAAAGAATTACTGAGAATCCCTTATCTCACATAGTTTCCGCTCTTTGAAGTTCCTCATTCCTGCATTTTGGTCTAGGACGGGTAGGCAACCTCGGCTCTTTTATGACTCTGGTCTCGGAAGTTCATATGGCCACAAAGATAGAGAAAGCCCAAATACACAGCCAAGAAGAAACTTACTGAGAAACTGTGGGATTTCTGCAGGAGTGCCTTATAGAAATATATTCTTTGTTCCCTTTCAGATGTTTGTGGAAAGAAAGCAATGCTATATCAAAATGATTCACAAAAATAGGATGGTAGTCCATTCTTATTTTTTCTTTCACTTTTCCTTTCTTTTGTGTTTTTTCCAGTTATTTTGTTTCCTGAATTTAGAGTGTTTAATAACCTTTTTAAAAGAAGAAATTAGCCAATAAATTAATTTCTACCAAAAGGTCTATTAAAGAAGTCATTTCAAGAATTATCTAAGAATAAAAACAAAAATAACAGAACATCAGAATAACAGAATTGAAAGGGACCTTGGAGGTCTTCTAGGCCAACCCGTTGCTCATGCAGGAGACTCTGTATCATTTCATACAAGGTGTTTTCCAGTCTTTTCTTAAAAGCCTTAAGTGATGGAGAACCCAAAATTCTGAAGGCAAACAATTCCACTGGTTAATTGTTCTCATTGTTAGGACATTTCTCTTTAGTGCTAGGTTGCTTCTCTACTTGATTAGTTTCCAACCATTATTTCTTGTCTTACGTTCTGATGCTTTGAAAAATAAGTTAGCCCCCTCTTCTTTGTGGCAGCCCTTCAAATATTGGAACACTGTTATAGATATACCCAATTCCTACAATTGTTCTTCATATGTTTTATCCTCCAAGCCTTTGTTACTCTTTTTATACTCTTTCCAGGCTCAACATCTGTTCTATGTGACCAAAACTGGACACAATATTCTGAGATCTTATTAAGGTAAGATCACGTGTTCTTGATTCTTTCCCTCTGTTAATGCAGCCTAGGATTACATTGGCTCTTTTAGCTGGCGCTGCACACTCCTGGCTCTTATATGTGATTGTCCACTAGGACTCCAAGATCCTTCTCATAGTTACTGCTATTGAGCCAGGTTTCATCTAATCTGTACCTGTACATTTGGTTTTTCTTGTCTAAGTATAAAACCTTACTTTTTCTACAGTGATTTCATTTTATTAGATAAGGCACAGTATTCTTTTGAGATCCATCTGGATCTTGAACCTATTTTCTGGGCTATTCCTACCAGTTTAGTGTTGTAAGCAAATTTGATGAGTTCCCTTTCTATTCCCTCATCTAAATCAGACATGTCAAACACAAGGCCCAGGGGCTGAATGCGGCCTGTGACGTGGTTTCATGTTGCCCACGAAGCCATCCTGGAAACAGTGAGGGAATGACCTCCGCTGTCTTGGCCCCAGCCCAGGCCAGCCAGGAGCCAATGTACAATTTTGTGGTGGCCATCTATGCTGAAACGTATTCAGTCTTAGCTCCACAAGGCTGTCTGGAAACAGCGAGGAACCAGCCCCAGGTGCATTGGCCCCATCCCCTGGGTGCATGCTGGGGAGGTGTCACCCTTTGTGAGGAATGAAGAAATGCACCATTGCCTGGAAGTGGCCAGCAAATGGCCCTCGCTTATTTCACATATCTGGCTTGATGGGCTCTGGGGGAGGGCTTTTCCAGTGGACCATGCCTTGGCGCTTGCCCTGGTCCCACCCCCTTCTGCCAAAGATTCTCAGATCTGTCCCACTCCTGCTCAGGTCCTCACAGGCACCCTTGACGCGAACGATGTAGAGCTGGCCATGCCCACCCAGTAGGCACACCCACTCTAGTCATGCCCATCCAGTACGCCGCGCCCACCCTGGCCACACCTACCTGGTCCCCCGAGGACAACCACAATGCTGATGTGGCCCTCAATGAAATTGAGTTTGACACCCCTGATCTAAATCTTTTATGAAGATACTGAATAGTACTGGGCCTAAAATGGAACCTTGGGGCACAATACTACCCTCTTCCCTCCTTGCAGATGCAGTTCCAGTAAGGGCTACACGTTGAATGTGGTTTGTCAGCCAGTTACAAATCTGTCTATTTCTCATGGAATTTAATGACACTGTAGAACTAACATTATTGTTCAAAAGATATTATGGATTAAATGCTATGATTGAATGAACAGTGATCCTCAACAAACCTCTGCCATGGTAAATTTTTTGTCAGACTAGACGAGTCCTTGTGAAGATGCCCATTACTAAAAGCAGCAGTGGAAGAAAACTCTGGCATCCAGTCCAGTGAGTTTCATAAATGCATCTGACTGTGATGCCAAATGGTGAACCATATGGCCTAATTCCGTAGAGCTCTTTAGATATTTTAAAGATAATCTATCTGAAGTATCAGTCACCTTACACATAAAATACATCCCCTTCCATCTCAAGACCAAAAAATTAGTATGGAATTCCGTAAGTACCAGGTCAAGCAAAAAAGTCCACCTTTCTTTTCTATGCCCTTTTCCAGCAGATTCCCACCAGCTTATCCTACCTGGAATTGTTCATCTGTAAAGCTATGACCTCCTTTTGAAGCAGTGCAAGATCTTGCTGCTTGTTCTGAATGTCTTCCTGTAGTTGCTGCTGCTCAATCCGCTGCCATTCCAGCTTCAACTTGCCATCATGGAGTTTTGAATGTGACTCAAGCAGAGCCTTCTGCAGGTGCTCCAACTCTGGAAATTGAGAGAGGTATTTGAGGTGATTTTATAACATATGAATGTATTAAGGAAGTCTTATAATATATAGATATATTTGCTGGCATAAGAATGTTGCTTTCTAGATGTTTGGTCTCTCCAAAAGCTGAATTTTACAAGTTCTCTTAAATTGATATGCTAATAGATAACAAAACTAATGAATAGAAGCTAGTCATTAAAGGAGCTCAGAATTCAGAAGACACTTGCTCTAATGGTTGGACATAATAAAACTTTATGTATAAGAGCAAAATAGAGCAGTTTTTTTTTACTAGATTTTTATATTCAGTTATGTGACTCAAAATACTAAAGACTGAGATCTTTTCATACTTAAACCTTTGCAGCAAAGGGACTGCTTTATAATGAAAATGAAGTTGTGGCAATCACAATCGCTTCATCAAATTATTGTTCTTCATTGGCCCTTTAGAAATGTCTAATAACTTTTGATTTTAACAACTTTAATAACAATAACTTGTGCTTTAGTAATGTCTAATGTGCTTATCAAAACGTGTTGCCATTTCTAATCTTATTTACACCATTAAAGCATTTTTTTCCTGTTGTTGAACTAGGAGATGAGAATGGGAATAAGATCTAGGTACTTCTGACAGCACATGCATGTTATATCTGACATTCCAAGAGCAGATGTTTCTGCTTCTTTCACACCATTACTCTTTGCCACTGAGGTGAGATATATTTCCAGTTGGTCCCACAAACGGTCATTGGTATAGATGGACTTCTCTAGACACTGCCAGAGAGTTCGAATCTCAAACATATGTTCCTCTAGAAAATCAGCACTTATATTCATTCAAAAACAAAGGGTGCAAACAAAATGAAAAAGAGAATCATGATAGTGTTCAGAAGGTAAGAGCTAACTTTGGCACCTTAAGAAAATTCATGGATAAGAAAAGATCAGATGAAATGTACATATTTGTAAATTAATAATAGTATCATTAAAACTTTTAACGTCATGATAATATCATGTATTCTATCCCTAAGGGGAAAAAATACCCAAAGATGTTATAAAACTCTTGAAACTGATTTCAAGAGCTCTTACATGTAATGTCCTAAATAACTCAAAGGATCAATTTGTTTATGACCCAGAAGACCTCAGGATAAAAGAGATCTTGACATACTTGAACAATGAGCCCTATCCAACAACTTAAGTTTAATGTGGAGAAAAGCAGTTTTACATTTAGACAGGAAAAAATCAAAGGTTTAAGTACAGATTAGGTGAGACCTGGCTCAAAAACAGCAACTATGAGAGGGACCTTGGAGTCCTAGTGGACGATCACTTGACTATGAGCCAGCATGTGCAGCAGCAGCCAAAAAAGCTAATACATTCCTGGGTTGTATAAACAGAGGCATAGAATCAAGATCACATGTAGTATTAGTACTGTTTTATAAAACCCTAGTGAAACTATACCTCGAATAATGCAATGAATTTTGGTCACCATACTACAAACAGATGCTGAGACCTTGGAAAAAGTTCAGAGAAGAGCAACTAAAATGATCAAAGGCCTGGAGACTAAAACATATGAAGGTTGCAGGACTTGGATTTGGCTGGTTTAAAGAAAAGAAAAATAGGGATGATATCTGAGATGGTATAGGTTCTCCTGCTTGATCAGGGGGCTGGACTAGAAGACCTCCAAGGTCCCTTCCAGCTCTATTCTATTCTAAATAATTTCTCACATATTCACCAACGGATAGAATCGCAGAACTTACGTGAGGGTTTATGTGTAGGAAGGGTGGGTGGGCAACATGATGCAGAGGCAAGTCCCTCGTGAAGCTGGCTGAATGAATGAGTACATGGAGGGATGCAGCTTTCCTCCAATTGTTCTTTGAATTTAGTCTTCCAATCAGCAGTATTTTCTACATGAAATAAGTGAGGAACAGGGTGGCAAGCATGACGGCTGTTTTTGGAAGAGATAATTTTGCCACCTGCAGAAAAAATGCCAATAAATGATTCTGTTTTATTGATGGCAATGTTGAAAGCCAAGGTACAGATAAATTACCAAAGGAGAGATACATATCATGCCCACTACCACAGACAAAGGAATATACAGTATATAGCAGTATAAATATAACACACTTTTACATTGTACACTGCTCAATCACTTTTTGTGACATGGATGCACATATAAATTTAATAAATAACAAACAAACTTGGAACAAAGAGGATTAGGAAAGTTCCTATTGACAAATCTTTCACCACAGCATAGACGTATTTTGAGGGGTATCAGAAATTAGAAAATATCAGTAGATTGGCACAATTCTACAGGGACAAGCCCTGTTTTTACAGACAATTATTATTATGGTTCATTACACAGACAGCCAGATATTTAGACTGGACTTGGCATTTTTAATCATCAAGTATCTTGGATAGGCAGATGTTTATGTTTCATGGTATTAAAGTTATTGCTGCAGGATGTAAGCTATTCCGAATAAAGCTGCCTTTTTGCAATTGATTTTGTAAATGCTGATGATGTTCAAGTGGTGCTCCACAGATGCTTTGGGATTGCACCCAAGATGTCTATTACTACTGGTACTATCTTTCCTTTCTTTTGCTACAGTTGTTTTATTTCTATTTGAAGGTCTTTGTATTTTGTTATCTTCTCCAGGTCTTTCTCTTCTATTTTTTTTTTTTTTTTTGCCATATTGCAATGTTCACTAGCCAGATAGATTTTTGTCTTTGTTTTCCACAATTAAATCTGAGGTATCTGTCTGTCTGAATTCTAAAGCCCCAGAAACTTTAACTTCTATTGCTTTCTCTTCTTTATGATCCCACCAGTTCTTGCTTGCAGGCAAATGGTATTTCTTGCAGATCTTCCAGTGCACCATTGTTGCTACTTTGTTATGCCATTGTTTGTAGTCAGACTGTGCCATCTTCTTGCTGCAGCCAACCAGGTAGTCCACTCTTTCTGAAGCTTCTTTGCAGAGGGAGCACTTGCTGTCTTGCTATCTTATCAATTCTAGCTTTGTATGCATATTTTCTTAAGGCTTGGTCTTGTGCAGCCAGAATTAGCCCCTCTTTTTTGAATTATCCTTGAATTTTCCATTGCCAGGTTTGTTATCCACCTTGCCTGCTATTTTTTTTTTTTTAATGTACTGGCCATGTAATACTTTGTCTTCCCATGGCTCTATTTTTGTAGCCCAGATTGGTCTCTCCAGTATGTAGGAAGGCTTCCTGTTATACTAACTTCAGTACATCTTCTTCACTGTTCTTCATATGTTCTTCCAATGCCCTTTTTTCTTCTTCAACCATTTGATGTGCCTATCTTCCTTGGTAAGTAGATTATTATTAAATTTATTTGCCATCCATCTCACAGTTCAAAGTGATACTTGTCAAGTTTCAGCAATACTAATGCCTCACAGACTTTTTACCAGGAAATGAAATCAAATTATTAACAATAGTATTGGTAGGTAAAAGAAATAGGATGCAATCAGAAAACATTAGTTCTGGTTCCTTCTGCAGAAGAATGAGTAATTCAGTTGTGGTGGTACGTCTGTGTTCAGAATAACTTTGCTTTTGAAAAATAATGCAACTTGGAGATAATTTTTATTATAATTATAATAAATACATTATAAAATTCCATACATTCCATATATCTGAAATTGGCTTCCATTAAAGTCATAATTTTCTACTTTTCATTCTTCAAGCTGAAATTACTTTATTTTCATGGTTTATATTTGCTTTATTGCCATTGATGATATATACTGACTAACAATGGTTGTGGTTTTTAAAATCCGATAAGGTTCAGCTTTGTAAAACTAATGAAATATTGAAAATATTTATTTATTTAATTCTGTGATGCTTCTATATTCCATATCTATTCACTTCATGTTTTATTTTTCTTCACATCTTTTGCCTCTTTTTGTTTCTTTTTTTCCTTCCTTTTTCAAAAATGTTTATTCAAAGAGTTTTAATGATCAGAAACAAATAACAGGACATCAGAGACTGGAATTTCTTATAGAGCGTGATTCCTGGAATTTTTTGCCAGAAGAGGTCAATAGGAAATATTTTATTTTCTTGTCATGTAAAGAAGTAACATATTGCATCTGTATGTACATTTTTGTTCTCCCTATATGAGTCTGTCCGACTTTAGAAGCCCTAGGCAGAATGGTAATCAAAGAATGAATTTAGCTGTAGTTGATGCATGGGAGACTCTTACCAAACTCTACATAAGAACAGCCTGCTTCAACAGAATCCATGGACATGTATCTGTTTGGATGTGTCAAAATGGGCAAGATGGTGGAATGATATACTCATGCAAGGCCTGCCCCTTTGTGTGTGCGTGAGAGAGATGTTAATGCATGTCCAAAAAAGGCAAAACTTATATTGCAAAGCAATGTCCACCATCATCATCCTCTGGAATGGGGTTCCCCTGAGATCTGGATGGTTCCCACTATGCTATAGTTTAAAATGGCTTTTCATCTAAGCCTTAGGTACTGGGTTTTTTCCTATCTGGTCTGTTTCACTTGTATCTTTTATCTTTATCTTTTATCCTTTATTGATTTTATTGTAATTTCTTTAATTGTAGTCAGCTTCCAGATTCCTTGAGAGTTGGAGTTTAGTAAATATTATTCCTCTTTTTGACTCACTCTCATTGTGGATGTCAATTGCCTTCAGGATTTTTCTTCTAGAGATATTGAGAGGTTAGGGCATTAACCTTTTGGTATTGCAGTAGTAATCTGACTGTTTGGACTCTCTATCTTAAAAGGGGCAATTAAATACTTTCTTATTCACTGAAAGATATAACTGCTCTTCCAATTCATGTAATTCATGTTCACAGAAACCAAGTTACAATTAAGTAGTAATAGTTCACCACAGCCTGGCAGTTAAACTGTTTTTTTATTAGTGTTATTCATTTATAACATAACATGTGAAAATACAAAAGCAAATTGTCAGAACCCCTATGCATTTTGCCTTTCCTATACTTTCATTTTTCGGGTTCTGCCGTTCTAATGGGGGGAGGGGACATGGGTATTCTGCAGTGTATTGCCTTTGCTTTGTTCTATTCTCTTTGAAGTATCTTTCTTGGGGTGAGAATGGAATGGCCATTTCCAGAAAAACCTGGCAGCCTTGAGAGCAGTGCCTTATCGGTTCTTCTCACAACAATTTGACACCTATGGATTGGCTTAATTTGAACCAGCGGAAGGGACAGTTGGGGTGGGGTTTGAAAGGGTTCTTTTAATATAACATTTCGCACGGGAAATCTTCAGATCCTGCCTTACTATCCTGCTGTCAATGCCTTCCAATAAAAGTTCCTGTTGAGACAATGCAAGTTTCAAAAGTTCTGCTTTCTTGGGAGGCTTAATTGAGACAGGTCCTTACACAAATAGTAGGGGACAACCATAGAAAAAGGGAAAACAAAAATGGGTGAAGAAAGGGAGGAAAAGAAATAAAAGGCATTGACTTCTGATTGTTGCAGTAAAATCAGACATTAAAATCAAATCGCAACTTTTTACATTTCTATAGTAGTATGTTCTAGCCATTTCTGTATCGACAAATCAATTTAATCGGTAAAACCCAAAATCATATCATTTTTTTCCCACCTCAAGCACAAAGTCCAGAAGCCGTTTCCAAGTAGAAACAAAAGTACTTATGTTCTTTTCTTTTATCAGCATAGTCAATTTGGCCATCTCTGCTAATTCCATCAGCTTTTGTAACCATTCATCTATGGTAGGAATCGAGACATCCTTCCATTTTTGTGCATAGAGCAATCTTGCTGCCGTCACCATATATAAAATCAGAGTTCCAATTTTTTTTCCCAGTTCTCTTTCCATTAGACCCAAAAGGAAAGTTTCTGGTTTAATCGTTATGTTCACTTTAAGAATTTTCTGCAGCAGTTTTGCTAAACTGTTGACTACCTCTGATCAAACTATCTGAACTTCCTCATGGAGCAGAACAATATTAATTCCCTCCATAAAAGTTCCAAATAAATCACACCAGTGAATTTATCTATTTTTTTTATTTTTATACCCTTTATTTTTTTTTTATAAATAACTCAAGGCAATGAGCATACATAACACTCCCTTCTCTTTTCCCTAACAATGAACCTGTGAAGAAGGCTGGATTGAGAGAATGACTAGCCCAAGGTCACTCATCTGGCTTTCATGCCTAAAGAACTAACACTCATAGTCTCCTGGTTTCTACACCAGCACCTTCACCACTACACCGAACATGCTAAGCTGTACTTTATATTTGGAATCTCTAAAAGGTCAGCCACAAATCACCAAGGAAAGAAGCAAACAATGGTCTATGCCAAAGGTCTGCAACCTTAAACACTCAAAGAGCCACTTGGACCTGTTTCCTAGAGAAAAGAAAACACTGGGAGCCGCAAAACCTGTGCGCGCATGCACGTGCGCACACAATGGATGGGGACCTTGATTGAAGAGTTTAATTAAAAAGAAATAGAGGCTGCTGTGCATGAGTTCTCTCTCTCCCTCTCTCTCTCTCCTCTCCCTCTCTCTCTCTTTCTGTCTCTCTCTTTCCTCTACCTCTCTCTCTCTTTCTCTTTCCTCTCTTTCTCCTTCCTCTCCCTCTCTCTTTCTCTCTCTTTCCTCTCTCTCTCTCTCTCCCTCCCTCCCTCCCTCCCTCCCTCCCTCCGATCTTCTGCTCACTTGGCAAGCTGGCTTCAGGCTGTTCTCAAACAAGCTGACACACATTATTGGGCTGGCTCTCTCCTGCCCTTCCTGTTTCCTGCAGAGACGCAACAAAGGGAGGAACCCCGCCAAATAAGCTTGTCAGCTTGTCATAACAGTGTGAGGCCACTCTCTTTTTTATACACACACACATACACACAGACAGAGAGAGAGAGAGAAAGAGAGAGAAGGGAAGCAGGGAAGCGCAAGTGCCTCTCTCTGTCTCTCTCTCTCTGCAAATGGCTGAGGAGGCTAGGAGCCGCAGGAGAAGGCTCAAAGAGCCAAATGTGGCTCCAGAGTCGTGGGTTGCCGACCCATGATCTATGCTATCCTTGACAATAATGAAGGTACCATGCAGAAAGTGTTAGGCACATCATGCAAAGCTACATGCCAGATGGGGTGCTGGGCCAGGAAAGCTCACTTTCTCCAAGTTGCTTCTGTAGCATCTGCAACTCCTGCTGTGCTTCAGTCAGGGAGAAGGCTGGTATTCTGCAGCAGCCAAGCAGGGGCCTTGAGCATGAAGATGGGGGTCCAAAAGACACGCAGGAGGATGGTTTTGAGTCCAGTGAAGCCAAAAGCAAACCTGTTGGCTTGGACAAGGAGTCATCATAAATGCCTAGAAATGGAAATAGAGGAGAAACAAAGAGATTGGCAGATTAAATTAGGACATCCTGAGGAAATAGATTGTTCCCAAAAGATACAGATTGTTAAACAGAATAACTTTTCCTCTTTTTTAAAACCTGGTGGTAATTATAAATATTGCTGAGCCAAAATTTAGATGAGCAGCTAAGAAGGCATCCTGAGCACTTTTTAATAGATTGTTTAAGATAAAGCAAGAACAAAAGAAGCAGCTTATCTACCAGTACTAGGATACAGCTATTTCTACACACATCACCATTCATTGGGAAGGATTTTCTTTTTAAAATAATGGTGTGGTGATAGCAAGCTAATTTAGCACAGTTCCTGCAAGCCAGGCTGTTAGCAGAGTCCAACAGCACTTCAGGAAATGAAACTGGCAGCAGTATGGCTGCAGGCAGCCCATTTACTGGTCAATTCTGCTTGCTGCTTAGCTTAGCCTTTTTTTAAAGTGCTAAAAGTGTCCAGGCAAACCTTAAGGCACAAGACAAGGATGTCCTTTATCTCCATTATTATTTATATTTTGTATTGAACAGAAATGAAATATCAGGCAAGAAATAGAAATTAAAGGATTGGAGATAAAAGACTAAAAATATAAGCTACAAGTATTTGCAGATGACTAGGTTTTCATATTGGAAGAACCACTTGAAACAAGCACTAAATTTATGGAGAAAATAGAAAAAAATGGAGAAGTGGCAGAGAAAAGACCAAAGTGCTAACTAAAAATCTAACAGAAAAACAAAAAAATCAATTAGCAAAACAAAACCTTCAAATAGTTAAAAAAGTTAAATATTGGGGAATTTACTTAACAGCAAGATGTGCAACAATAAAAGAAGACAATTATAAAAGATTGCTAAAACAAATAAAATTGGATCTGGAAAAGTGGAAAAATTTACAACTTTCAATGTTGGGGAGAATAGCAACAGTGAAATACTTTTTTTTTCAAATGATACCTGGGAAAAACCTTTTTTGATGAACTAAATACAACAATATTGAAATTTATCTAGCAAAAAATGCTAGAATTAGACTAAAAATGTTACAAGAAGTGAAAGAAAGTGGAGGATTTGGATTGCCGGACTGGATGTTATACTACCAAGAAACTACTGTACTTTCTGGCATATAAGACGACTTTCGAAAGCATTGAAATCGGCGCCGAAGTCGGGGGTCGTCTTATACGCCGAGTCGTCTTATACGCCAGAAATAACGGTAGTTTCTGGTGTATAAGACAACTTTCTAGGCATGTGACTCAGCGCCGAAGTCGGGGGTCGTTTTATATGCTGGGTCGCCTTATATGCCGGAAAATACGGTATATTAACATGGCTTAAAGAGTGGATAATGCTTAGAGATAAAAGACTATTATACCTAGAGGGGCATGACCTACAATTTGGATGACATGCCTTTCTGTGATATGGGGAGAATAAAATACATAGATGCTTTCAAAACCACTTTATAAGAAACACACTTCTTCTAGAATGGGAAAAAAATAAAAGCAAAAATTTATATCAAAATATCTGGATGGCTTTCAACAAGGGAAGCATTTGCTTACCCATAGTTAATTAACTATGACAAAGTTGTGACCTATAAAGATATTTTGGACAATGAAGGAAAATTGAAAGACAGACAAGATTTACAAGAACAAGGTATTGATCTATCATGGTGGCCATACTTGCAAATTCAAATGAGATATGAAAAAGACACTGAAACAACGGGATTCTATAAAGAATAGAGAGAATTTGACCAGATACTGCTAAAAACAGATGAAAAACTGATTAAGAAACTTTATAAATATTTGTTAAGCTTAAAGATGGAAGAGGAACAAATAAAAGAAACAATGATAATATAGGCAAAGAACTTTGGACATAATATAGAGCTAGAAAATTGGCAAAGTTTATAGGAAAGAAATGCTAAACTAGCGAAAGCAGTGGCAAATAAAGAAAATTTATACAAAATGTTTTACAGATGGCATTTAAGACCGGTGAGATTAGCGAAAATGTTTAAAAATATGTCATATAAGTGTTGGAAATGCAAACAAAAATGAGGTACTTACTACCGTATCTGGTGGATATGCCCTAAAGCTAAAATATTTTGGTCAAAAATACATCTATGGTTAGAGAAAATGAATAAAAAATGAATAAAAAAGCCAGAATTATTTTTGTAGGAATAATAGGAGCAAATTAAGAGAAAGACTTTATATACTTAATTTTACATGTATTAACTGCAGCAAGAATTGTATTTGCCCAATACTGGAAAAATGAAAATCTGCCAACAGAAGAAGAATTAATTAAGAAACTCTTAGATTGTGCAGAAATGGACAGATTGACATTAAAGATAAAAGAGAAAGAAGACTCAGCGTATTTTAGAACATGGGATAATTTTTATCAAGGAAAGCTATGGCAAATCTAGACAGCATACTAAAAAGCAGAGACATCACCCGGCCAACAAAAGTGCGTATAGTCCAGGCCATGGTTTTCCCAGTTGCAATGTATGGCTGTGAAAGTTGGACCATAAGAAAGGCTGAGCGCAAAAGAATTGAGGCCTTTGAACTATGGTGCTGGAGAAGACTCCTGCGAGTCCCTTGGACTGCAAGGCGTTCAAACCGGTCAGTCCTAGAAGAGATCAACCCCGACTGCTCTTTAGAAGGCCAGATCCTGAAGTTGAAACTCAAATACTTTGGCCACCTAATGAGAAGGAAGGACTCACTGGAGAAGGGCCTAATGCTGGGAAAGATTGAGGGCAATAGAAGAAGGGGACGACAGAGAATGAGATGGCTGGATGGAATCACTGAAGCAGTAGGTGTGAACTTAAATGGACTCCAGAAGATGGTAGAGGACAGGAAGACCTGGAGGAACATTGTCCATGGGGTTGCGATGGGTCAGACACGACTTCGCAATTAACAACAACAACAAAGAAAAACGAGTTAGAGAGAAAGGAATGTGATATGTGACATTGAATATACATTAGTAAGAAGATGTCTATTGAGCAATTAATTAACATATTGTTTATTATAAGTAATTATTATTCATTGTTTTATATATATACCAGTTGTTTATTGCTAAAAAGCTATTTAAAAACAATAAAAACAACTATTTACAATATTAAAAGAAACAACTTAGCTTTCGCTGGTCCCCTGCCAGAGTGAGGCTCAGGGGGTGGAGAAATTCTTTTTATATACTTTGCTGGTCTAACTGCTTACTCATTGCCCATGTGATAGAGCCATCCTTCCTGATTAACTGTAATTGCCTTGGTTGCCCTGCCTTCTCTTTTTTGCACTCCAATTCCACACTTTTCCTCTCTCTCATCCTTGTCAATCTCCTCCCTCCCAGCAACGTTGCTGCCGGTGTGCTCTCTAACCGCTCCCTCCTACTCATTCCAGGCTGCGCATTCAAACCCAGTGTTCCAAAAGGTTTACCATCAGGGCTCCCTTCCTTTCCAGCCCGTTGGTCTGCACGCTGTTCCTGCCTTTCGTCATCCATTCCTGTCAGTCTTTTTTTCGGTTTCCCTCCACCCCCGGGTGTGTGCATGCTCCATCATGCCTCATCCTTCTGCTCCGTCTGCCTACAACCAGTGGGGATGCCTATCAGTTTGCTCTTAGGCTCAGCCCCTCTCATCCTCATTAGCCTTATCTCCCCCAATTTCCTTTCACACCTAGCTGTGCGTGTGCACGATCGTGTCCTGTCTCTCTGCCCTGTCTGCCCATAGTCAGTTAAACTGTCCGCTGGCTCCTCTCCAAGTCCAACCTCCCCCCCTTTTTCATCCCCTTCCCCTTCCCTCCCCTTCCTGGTTAACCCTCTCTTGTTTGGTATCCCTGTCCTACGTGTTTTGGGTCGTACGGCCAGGTCCAGCATTCCTAATGCCCCCTCATTATCACCTTCCCCCTGAAACTCTTCACCATGCTCGCGTCCTCCCTCCTTTTCACCCCATCCATCCATCTGTATTTCAATACTTCACCATCCATCCATCCCTGTGTCTTTTCATCCCCCTTTTCCTATCTGCCCGGTAAGGAAGAGACGTTCAGAGGGGCATAGGATAAGAGGCAAATGGTTACATTGTAATGGTTAGCAGACCCGAAGGCAAATAAACAAAAGGTTACTTTGTAGTGAATAGAGGAAATGAACGTAATAAACCTGCATGCATCTCCCCCTCCCCCTTGGGAGTATGGCAGGATCCAGGGAAGGGTCAGAATTGGTTTTAGATCACAGAAGGTAGATAGAAATGAAATATAACTGGATTCTGACATCCTGCCCCCCTTAAAAATAAGAGATCCACCTGTAAAGAAAACAAAACAGGTATAAAAGTTAGTCTGGCTTGTTAGGATACTATGTATGAAACTTCTTTAATAGCTTCAGGGCTCTGACATGACATTTATGGACTCATTCGTTTTGTGAGGAGGGGAAGGGAGGGGTTTCCATGCTACTAGGTATTGAGTTGTCCCTTGATATCTCCTAGAGTCTAGGATTTCCTTTATTTCAAAGTGTTGTTCTCCTTCCACCATGATTGGAGGTGGTGGTGGGGATTTTTGGTCGTAAGGGTGACTGTTGTTCTCTTTTCAGCAAACTGCAGTGAAAAATTGGGTGTATTTGCTTGAGATTTTTGGGTAATTCTAATTCTACTGTTACTGGATTTCTGATTCTTTTAATTGGAAAAGGTCCTATATATTTTGATCCAGGTTTTTTACAGGGTTGTAGGGATTTTAGATATTTTGTAGACAAATATACCATTTCTCCTACAATAAATGGTGTGGGTTCAACTCTTTTTTTATCTGCTTGTGCTTTGTATGCTTGCCTAGCTTCGCCTAAGGCTTTTCTAACTATTGGCCAGGTGTTTTGTAATTGTTCTATCCATTCTTTCAGTGATGGGATTGTCAGTTTGTTTGGGATTAGTTCTGGCATGGGGTTGAAATTTTGATTGGTGGCTATTTGAAAAGGAGTGTAACCTGTGCTGGAGTGGACTGCGTTGTTGTAGGCAACTTCTGTGAAAGGG